GAGCTGAGAGTCACCTGGAAACTGTCAACACAGGTGGCAGTATCTTCCTGTGCCATAGACTCCATTTGCCTATTTTTTAATCATTTGTTTTTGTTGTTGAATTGTAGAAATTCTGTTTGTGATTTACAAATATTTTTCTCCTTTTTTGGTGTCCTTTTCACTCTATTGATGCTATTCTTGAGTCATAAAAGCTTTAAATTGTGATGACATTCAATTTACGTTTGTTGTTTGTGCTTTTTTTTTTTTAAAGAAATTTTTATTTTACTTATTGGAAAGGCAGAGTTATGGAGAGAGGGAAAGAAAGAGAAGCCTTCCATCTTTTGGCTCACTCCTCCAGTGCAGCGGCTGGGCCAGGCTGAAGCCATGAGCCAAGAACTTTGGGTCTCTCATGTGGGTGCAGGGGCCAAGCACTTGGTTCATCTTCCCTTCACCTTTCCCAGGCGTGTTAGCAGGGAGCTGGATTGAAAGTGGAGCAGCTGGGACTCAAACCAGCACCCACATGGGATGCTGGCACTGTAGGTGCTGACTTAACCACTACACTATAGTGTTGGCCCCTTTCTTGTAGTTTCAATATTATTTTTAAAATTTTTACAGAACTTTTTGCAAAATTCCATGTGGTAAAGCTTATCCTGTGTTTTATATTGGGAATATTACTTTAGCTGTTATATTGGTGTGAACTCTTTTTGTTGTTGTTGTTGTCCATTATTTATTTATTTTATTTTCTTAAAGATTTTATTTATTGGATCCTGGCACGGTAGCCTGCAGGCTAAAGTTCTCACCATGCACGTTCCAGGATGCCACATGGGTGCTGGTTCTAATCCCGGCTGCCCTAGTACTTATCCAGCTTCCTGTTTGTGGCCTGGGAAGATAGTCAAGGACGGCCCAAACCCTTGGAACCCTGCACTTGTGTGCGAGACCTGGAAAAAGCTCCTGGCTGCTGGTTTTGGATCGGCTCAGCTCTGGCTGTTGCAGCCATTTGGGGTGTGAGTCAGCAGACAGAAGATCTTTTTCTCTGTTTCTCCTTCTCGCTGTATGTCTGGCATTCCAATAATGAAATAAGTAAATAAATATTTTTTAAAAAGATTTTATTTATTGAGCTTGAAAATAGGAGTTACAGAAAGGAGAGAGAGAGAAAGAGACAGAGCTTTTATCCACTTATTCACTTCTGCAATGGCCAGAGTTGGGCTGATCTGAAACTGAGAATCAGGAGCTTTTTCCAGGTCTCCCATGTGGGTACAGTTTAAAGCATAATAAAATGTTGCAAAAAAATGTTGGTAATAAGGGTTCTTATAAGTGAATGTCAAAAAGTTAATGGAAAACAATGGCTGTTTGGCACCATGATTAAGATGCCACTTGGGATACTCTTATCTTGCATCGGAAAGCCTGGATTAGGGTCCTGGCTCCAGACTCAGTTCCAGCCTCCTGCTAATACATATACTGCGAAGCAGTTCAGTGAGGACTCAAGTACTTACTTCAGTCTCTGCTACTAACATGAGAGACCTGGATTGAGTTCCAGACTTCTGGGGAGTGAACCAGCTGATGGGAGATCTGTTTCTCTCTTTCCTTCTATATTTTCCTTTCAAAACAATAAAATAAAAAAATTCAGTTCATGGGAAAGTGGAATAACAGTTATTTTTAGGGACAGATGTAGGACAGCAGAGTTGGATGTCTGCATCACTTTCTGGAGTGCCTAAGGTCAAGTCCCACCATGATTTCTAAACATCCAGTCACACTTCCTGCTAAGATGCTTCAGAGGCTGTGGATTATGGCCAAAGGTCTTGGGTTTCTGCTTTCCATGTGGGAGTTGCAGATGAGTTCCTGGCTTTTGGCTTTGGCCTATCCCAGACTTGACTATTGCAGCCATTTAAGGAACAAATCAACAGGTGGAAGCATTCTCTCTTGGACACTTAGCTTTTTAAATAGGTGAATACTTAAGAAAAAAAGGAAGGAAGGAAGGAAAGAAAGGAGGGAAGAAGAGAGAATAAGAGGAAAGGGGAGGGGATGGAAAAAAGGTGTCATACACCATGTTGGAGTACCTGAAGTATCTTGGTTTACTGTGGGAGTGCAGGGGTCCAAACACTTGAGCTCTCTGCTGCTGCATTTTCAGGGAGCTGGCTCAGAAGTGGAGCAGCTAGGACTGTAGCTGGTTGCCCATAGGGGATGCCTGTGTCACAGCTGGAGGCTTAACTTGTTTGGCCATGAGCCCTGGCCCCTCAGATTTTTTTTAAAGATTTTTATTTTTTATTTGAAAGACACATTTTAAGAGACAAGTAGAGACAGATCGTGCATATTTTCATCCATTGTTTCAGTACCCAAGTGGCCACAATGGCCAGAGCTGAGCTGATCCAAAGGCAGGAGCCAGGAGCTTCTTCTGGGTCTTCTGTGCTGTTTCAGGGTCCCAAGGCTTTGGGCCATCCTCTACTGTTTCCCAGGTCATAAGCAGGGAGCTGGATGGGAAGTGAACTGGTGCCTGTATGGGTACCCGGCACATTCAAGATGAGGGTTTAGCCACTGAGCCTGGCTCCCTCAGATGGTTTTTTAAAAGATTTGTTAGAAACAAATTTGGCAGGCAGAGTGCAAAATGACAGGGGAAAGAAGAGGGATAAAGAGAGAGAGTGATAGAGATCAAGAGAGATTGAGATCTACTGTTTGCTGATTCACTTCCCAAATTGATACAGCTGCTGGGACTGGATCAGGTTGAAGCCAGGAGCTAGGAACTTCATCCCAGTCTCCGGCATGGATGACTAGGGGCTCAAGTGTTGGAGCCATCTTCTGCTGCTTTTCCCAGTTGCATCGTGGGAAGCTTGATCAGATGTGAACCAGGTCTGGAATTAGTACTCTGAGGTGGGATACCATTGTCATAGGTGGGGTGGTTTTACCTGCCACACCACAATACCATCCTTGTCCAGTGATATTTATGCACTCGATGATAAGCTGTTTTTTCTTTCTCATACTAAAGCAGTATATTACATTCATTACCAAATATTGAACTCGTCTGCATCCCTAGAATAAACTTCAACTTCATTGCATTGTATACTTCTTTTATATATTGTTAAATTCTTTTTAAATGAAGATTTATTTTATTTTTATTGGAAAGGCAGATATACAGAGAGGAGGAGAGACAAAGATCTGTCTGATGGTTCACTCCCCAAGTGGCCTCAACAGCCGAAGCTGCGCTGATCCAAAACCAGGAGTCAGGAGCTTCTTCCAGGTCTCCCACGTGGGTGCAGGGGCCCAAGGCTTTGGGCTGTCTTCCACTGCCTTCCCAGGCCACAAGCAGGGAGCTGGATGGGAAGCAAAGCTGCCGGAATTAGAACTGGCACTCGTATGGGATTCTGGTGCATGTAAGGCGAGGATTTTAGCCTGTAGGCTACTGTGCCAGGCCATGTTAAATTCTTTTTTAAAAATACTGTATTTCAGTAAGTTGTCATGATTTTTGTATCTTCTTTCTTGAGGGAGAGTGGGCTCTTATTTTGCTTTTTTCTGACTGTTTTTGCCTGGTTTTGTCATGAAAATAATACTGAATTTGTAAGATTTGGAGGTATCTTCTTCCTCAGTTGTTACGTGTAGAATTGGTGTTGGTCCCCCCCCCCTTAAGATTTAATTATCCATTTATTTATTTTTATTGAAAAGGCAGATATATAGAGAGGAGGGGAGACAGAAAGTAAGATCTTTGTCTTTTGATTCACTCCCCAAGCAGCTGCAATGACTGAAGTTGAGCCAATCCAAAGCCAGGAGCCTGGAGGCTCTTGTGGCTCTCCCACGTGGGTGCAGTGTCCCAAGCCCTGGGCTGTCCTTGACTATTTTGGACGTGGGGCCTCTGGAATTAGAACCAGCAGCCATGTAGGATCCCGGCACATCAGGACAGACTTTAGCATGCAAGGCGAGGACTTTAGCCACTAGACTATTGCTCTGAGCCCAAATAAATTTATTTTTATTGGAAAATCAGATATACAGCAAGAGAGGAGGAAAGATTGAGAGGAAGATCTTCTGTCCACTGGTTCACTTCCCAAGTGGCTGCAATGGCCAGAGCTGGGCCAATTCGAAGCCAGGAGCCTCTTCAGAGTCTCTCATGCAGGTGCAGGGTACCAAGGCTTTGGACCATCGTCGATGGCTTTCCCAGACAACAATCAGGGAGCTGGATGGGAAGCGGGGCCACTGAGATTAGAACCAGCGCCCATATAGGGTCCCAGCACTTGCAAGGAGAGGACTATAGCCACTATGCTACTGCATCGTGCTTACTCTCTTTAATGACTTGATAGAATTCTCCAGTAAAATCATCTGGGCCTGGCAATTTCATTTATGGGAGTTTTAAAGTTCCAAATAGAATTTTCTTTTCTTTTTTTTTTTTCAAAGATTTATTTATTTTATTAGAAAGGCAGATGTACAGAGAGGAGGAGAGACAGAGAGGAAGATCTTCCGTCTGATGATTCACTCCCCAAGTGGCTGCAATGGCCGGTGCTGCACCAATCCGAAGCCAGGAGCCAGGAACTTCTTTCCGGGTCTCCCACACGGGTGCAGGGTCCCAAGGCTTTGGGCCATCCTCGACTGCTTTCCCAGGCCACAAGCCTGGGAAGTGGAGCTCCGGGATTAGAACTGGCGCCCATATGGGATTCTGGCGTGTTCAAAGCGAGGACCTTAACCATTACACTATTGTGCTGGGCCCCCAAATAGAATTTTCTTAAGTTTACAGACCACTCAAATTATGCATTTTATATTGAATCATTGTTATAGATTGTACTTTTGTTTATAATGAAAATACTTAGGGAAACTTTTAAGGAAAGTAGTTTGTTTGAATTATTAAATTTATTTGTGTAAGTTAATATTCACTATTCCTTTGGATGTATTCAGTGGCATTAGTAGTGATGTTTCAATTTCAAATATTGGTAGTTTGTTTGTTTGTTTTTGGTCACTACTATCAAACTGCTTAAAGAATAAGCCCTGTATCATTGATTTTCTTTATTGGTATTTTGTTTTCAAATTGATTTATTTCTGTCTCTTATTGTTTCCTTCATTCTGTTTGCTTTTGCTTTGTTTTGTTCTTTTTCTGTACTCTTTGGGGTGAATGTTTAGATGGGTTTAACCTTTTGTTTGCTAATAAAAATATTTTACTAGTAAAAATTTTCCTTTGAGTATAGCGTTAGTTGTGTCTCACAAATTTTGCTGTGTTGTATTTTCACACAGCATAATTAGAAGAAGACTTTTTTTTTACTAAGCCAAAATGTGTCTGTTTTTGATTACAGTGACAGGTATATATGAACTGAGGCAAATGAGAGGTAAAGTGGACTTGGCTCTGAGAGATAGTTACAGTGTGTTATTGAATTGAGATTAAGAGTCTCATGCTCTACCGACTGAGTAGCCGGGCACACGCAAAGTGTGACTGAATTGAAAGGTGTCAGGAAGATAGAGAAAAAATAAAGGACGTCAGTTTTATTCTACATGAGATGAAGTAGTGGCATCTAGGTGACTTTTTTATTTCTGAGTTTTCTGTATTTTCCAATTAAAATAACTAAAAAAATAAAAAATTATAAATCCTGTATGGATGAAATCTATAAACTAATTTTGTATGTACTTCAAGTTAGTATTGCATCACTGTTACGAGCTTTTGGAAGTGAAGATTGCAGAATGTACTATTTTGCTTTCTAAAGTGTTAAATAGAAGCTGAAGTGTGGGAAAATCTTTTTAATGAGTTTCAGGAAGAACAATTTGGAAATGCTCTTTTGGAAATGCTCTTTTGGGCTTCCTGGTCCTACTTAGATTTGATGTATAGTTTGAGCCTTTCTTTGAGCCAGCTTGATACCTTTTTTTTAAGGGCCATCTTTTTTTTGTGTATTTCCTTTTTTTTTCTTTTTTCCTGACAGAAATGACATCAGATGTACCATCACTAGGTGCAGCCATTGCCTCTGGAAACCCTGGGCCCGGGATTCAAGGTGGAGCAGCCATTGTCCAGAGGGCTATTAAGCGGCGACCAGGGTAAGTTGTATGAAGTTGTGAGTGTCTCTTCTGTAAATGACTTCATTTCATTAACTGCAGAACCTCTTGGCTATTTCTGGTCCACTCATTTTATCTGGTTACTTACTATTCTGCTATCATATAACTCTCCATGGGTTTTACTTTTTTTTTTAAAAAAATTCATTTGTTTTTTTAAAAGAAGATCCAATTATTTATTTGGGAGGCAGAATGATAGAGGAAGAGATAGGCAATGACAGTGAGAGAGGTCTTCATTCCTTGGTTCACTCTCCAAATAACTGCAATGACCAGAACTGAGCCAAAGTCAGGAGCCGGGAGCCAGGTCCATGTGGGAGCCAGGTCTGCCATGTGGGTGCAGGGGACCAAAGTCTTGAGCCATTCTTGGCTGCTTTCCCAGGCTATAAGCAGGGAGCATGATAGAAATGTTACAGCTGCAGCCCAGATCCCAGATATGAGATGCCAACATTACAGGCTGAAGCTTAGCCTGACTACACCACAGCACCAACCTGTACTTTTTAAATTTAATTTTATTTATTTGAAAGAGAAACAGATACAGAGTTCTTATCTGTTGGTTTATTCTTCAAATGTTTCTAACAGCTGGGATTGGGCCAGGCTGAAACTGGGAGCCCAGAACTAAATCCAGATCTCCTACCTAAGGGTCAGGGACCTGGATTTTAGGGTGTATGTTAGCATTAAGCTGGATTTGGGAAAGGAATCAGAACATAAACCTAAGCATTCTAGTAGGGGGTGAGGTTATCCTAGGCAGTGTCTTACCTGCTGTGCCAAATGCTCATCCCTCAATGCTATTTATTAAATGCATAATTAATATGTAATGTTATCTGATTGTTAGTGGGATGCAAAGGTAAAGATGTAGTCCTGACTCCAAGTTTTGCATGTTTGTTAAAGATAATCATTACATACTTAAGTATAATACAAGATCGAATATACTGAGTTTCGTGAGAAGGGAACAAGTACAGTGTTTTTAAGTCATGGGTGTATCACGTGATTGGTAGAGAGTAGGGGAAAAAACCTCAAAAAAGAGGTTGTGTTAAAGGGTAGTATCTTATCCATATTTTGGTATTAAGTTTCCATTTTGCTTTTAATAATTTTGTAATTAAGATTGTAACTTTTTAATTTTTTATTTTATTTATTTATTTTTTAAGATAAATTTTTTATCCACAAGTTTTATTTATTTATTTTATTTATTATTATTTTTTTTATTGGAAAGGCGGATATACAGAGAGGAGAGACAGAGAGGAAAATCTTCTGTCCGATGATTCACTCCCCAAGTGAGTGCAACAGTGGAAGCCAGGAGCCTCTTCCGGGTCTCCCACGCGGGTGCAGGGTCCCAAAGCTTTGGGCTGTCCTCAACTGCTTTCCCGGGCCACAGGCAGGGAGCCGGATGGGAAGCGGGGCTGCAGGGATTAGAACCGGCGCCCATATGGGATCCCGGGCATGCAGGGCGAGGACCTTAACCACTGTGCCACCGGCTGGGCCCTAAGATTGTAACTATTTTTTATGTTTTATCCTACCAGTAGTAATGTAGGAGTGATACCTGGGTTAAGTAGCAACATAAGTAAATATTAAACCATGTTATGTGTTCAGGAATTACTCATTTTAAATCAGATACTGAGTTTCAGAGTGAATAAGTAACCCAACTTTTTAACCTAAAGTTAGTGTCGAATCTGGGATATGAAATTTAGGAATTTGGCCTCAGAGTCTACTCCTTTTTTTTTTTTAACATTTGTTTATTTTGAAAGTCAGCTGCAGAGAGAGAGGGAGAGACAGAGTAATCTTCCATCTACTAGTTCTCTTCCCAGATGGTTGTTAACAGCCAGCAGTGATCCAGGCTGAAGCTAGAAGCCAGGAGCTTCATCCAGGTCTCCCTTCTGAGTGGCAAGAGCCCAAACACTTGGACCACTTTCCACTTGTTTTTTCAGGCCATTAGCAGGGAGATGGATTGGAAATGGAACAGTCAAGACTCTAACCAGCACCCATATGGGATGACAGCATTTCAAATGGCTATTTTATCCACTGTGTCACAATGCTAGCCCCTCAATGGACATCTTAACTGCTAAGCTAAATGCCTGTCTCTACCATTAATTTTTAATGCATTTTCTCATCTTTCTTCTGTATATAAATTTCTTAATAGTTACATCATATAATTACATAGTTTTGTATGGTTGACCTTTTCATCTTACCATATGTATGTAAATGTACATATATATAAATATACATATATAAAAACCTTTTAAGTACATAACCTTTTTCATATTGTTGCATTCTATAAAGATGTCATTTAAAATTTTTTTTCTTTTATTTTTAATATTGTTTACATAGTTTAAAGGGATGCATGCCCAAGTGGGTCTCCAATTGGAGGGACGGTCAAGGAATGGAGGAAGGTGGATAGGACAAATGTTTCAATTTTTTTTCCTCTTATGCTCAAAGAGGGGAAGGAGTGGGGGCCACTCCCTCCTTGCTGTCAAACTACATCAGCACCTGAGGTTGGGGGATAGTTCTTTGATGATACCTTAGAGACTCTGACATGGGGAAGAGTGTTCTGAAGGTGTTACTAAGTAGTTTTGATAGTTCTGAAACATTGTCAGCTTTGTTGCAACAGGCTCAAGAAAATCTTTCCAAGATCTGTTGGCTGACCAATTCCACCATGGTTCATCCATAGGCCCAGGAACATGTTGCAAAGCTTTTCCAGGAGTGTGGTCCAAGCTGTTCTGCTTCCCATCCTCTGGCGAGGCACTTAGTGTCCTCTGCTGACCTAGATGTCCTGGGTGTCATGTCCCCCATGTGCATCTGGGCATGCTGTCACTGTACAGGCAGAAGCAACTGAGGAGGCTCAGTCCTGACACACACAATCTAAGATTGAACCACATGTATTGTGATTTTCCCTGTGGCCAGGGTTTGAGTCCAGCCATCTAGCTGGGGAGTCCCCCAAGAAACCTTGCCTGGGATGACCTCAGACAGTGTGTGAGTCAGTGCAGTGTCAGTTCATTCTGTCACCTGTAGCAGTCAACATACATACAGGTTGATGTAGTTGCCTGGTCAGTTCTGCCCCTAGCCCCGTCTCATGTGAACTAATGGCCTAGCCCAGCCCAGACTGCCACAGGCCTAGTCTTCATGAACAGCAGCGGGTGCTGTAGCCTAGTTGGGGTGACCTCCCAATAAACCCCACCAGGCCTGCCCTCAGCTCTGGTTTTTCCACCTGCCAGCATGTGCTGCAGCTTAGGCCAATTGGCCCGTACTTGCCGATGGGTGTTACATCCTACCCCAGCTTGGCCCAGACCCAGACCCATCTCATGTGAACCAGTTGATTTTGTGGCCTAGCCTAGTCTGTCCCACATCCATTCTGGCTTTCATAAGTGCCAGTGGCAGCTGCAGTCTTGCCTAGCCTGGTCCGCCCATAGCCCCTGTTCTTGTACTCACCAGTGGGAGCTGCAGCCTAGCAGAGAAGTTCCCAAAGTTCCCCTTCCAAACTGAATTTTGTGCTTGTTTTGACCTAGCCTGGCATGGTTCACCATAGTCTTAGCTCTCCTTGGTGGGTGTTGTAGCCTAACCCAGCTGGGTGCAGCCTGCATCCAATCCTGGCTTTTGTGCAAGCCAGTGAGTACTGTGGTACTGTGGCCTGGCCTCGCCCAGCCTGCCCCAGACCCAACCCACACAAATGGTGCAGCCTTGCCTTGCCTAACCTGTCCAAGCTCTGGCCACTGTGCTCCCCAGCAGAAGGTGCAGCTTAGTAGGGAATTCCCCAAGCTATCCTACCAGGCCTGCCCCAGACCTGGATCTCATGCATGCTAGTGGGTGTTGCAGCCCTGCTTGGCATGATCTGTCCAAAGTCTTGACCTTTGCATGTGCCTGATGGGTGCTGCAGCCAGGCCCAGTCTGGTTCACTCCCACCCCTAGCTCCCGTGAGTGTCAAGTGAGATCTGCAGTCCTGCCTGGCTCAGTCCATCACTACGCACAGCTCTTGTGCAAACTGACAGGTGCTGTGGTCCTCGGGGGCAAGCCCACAAGTCCCCTACAGAATCTGCCCCCTAGACCTGGTTCTCTTGTGTTCTAGTGGGTGCTGTGCTTAGCCTCATGTGGATCACCCCTTACCACAACACTTGAGGGCAGATACTGTGGCCTAGCCCAACCAGACATGCCCCCTACCCCCAGCTTTTGTGTGTGCCAGGGGACAGTGGATAATGCTATTTAGCACAGCCCAGGTCTCCTGAGTGGGCAGGTACCTTGGCCTGACCCAGACATACCTTCCAGTTTCTCCACTCTAAACCACTCATAGCTCCTTCGCCTACTTGTGAATGCAGTGGGCTGGTCTATGGAAGACCCCAGAAGTCATTCCACCCCTGTCAAACATGCTCTCCGTCTAATATGTCTCCAGATCTCCCCTGAGCAATGTGTAGTTCCCCAACCTGCGGGCCAGGGTGGCATGCCCCAGCCCAGCATTCCCCACCTTCCCCACATATCTTAAAAAAAAAAAAAAAAAAGAATAGGCAACTATGCTGGCATATTGGTATAGTTAACATAAATTTGGCATTAACCGGGCCCATAATGCCCACTAGCTATTGGCTGCTTTTCTCCTTCAGTGTAACACTTGCCTAGTTACAAGGCAGCCTAGACAGTTGCCTATAGCTGGAGATATAGAAATATATTTTTAAAACTTTATTTTTTGGTAATGTTTACATAGTTGATTAGGGTGGGAAGGGTTGAGGGTTAGGGGAAAGTGGGTGAGACCATTGTTTCCAAATTTTCTTTTTCTTCTTCCTATATCTGGGGAAAGGGGGGTGAGAAGAAGAGAAGCCGCACTCAGCATCCTAACCACATCAATACTTAGGGATGGGGAATGGTCACTTGATATCATCTCAGGGTCCTCGATGTGGAGCATACTCTGAAGGTTCTGCTCAGGTGGTTTTGACAGTTCTAAAATTGCTGTTGGTCTTGTCGCTGCAACTATGAGGAAAGTCTTACAAGGTCCATTGGCTGACATAGCCCACCTTAGAGTTGCCATTCATCCAGATATTTGCTGTCAACATTTTATTGGGGTAGTTTACCAATTTGTTCTGCTCTCCATTCTCTGCTGTGGTACCAGATGTATAGGCATACTTTATAGTGGTTGTTTAAATGATGTAAATATTTTTAAAAAGATGTTTTTATTTATTTGAAAACAGAGTTACATGGGGGTGGGGAGGAGGGTGGAGAGAGAGAGATATCTTTTGTCTACTGGTTCACTATCTTCGATCTACTGGTTCACTCATGAAATGGCTACAGAATCCAGGGCTGGGACAGAACAGAGCCGAGGGTTTCTTCCAGGACTCTATGTGAATGGCAGTAGTCCAAGAATATCCTCTGCGTCTTCCTAAGGGAGCTGGATTAGAAGTAGAGCAGCTGGCTAGGCCATTGCTCCTGCTGGTGAGCGTGAGAGCTATGACTGGGGACAGACCAGTCTGGGCAGGGCTACGACACTTGTTGGCTTATATATGAAATGTGGGAGAGCTAGGTTGGGCTGACTATATCTACTGATACAGGCATGAGCCAGAATGAGGGCAAGTTGGTTGGGCTTTGCCACAGCATCAGCTGTGGCAAGTGCTTGGGATAGAGGGCAGGTCCTGTTGAGCTAGACTGCAGAACTACCTGGAGAGTGCAAGATCCAGGTCTGGGAGTGGGCCCAGTAGGGAAACTGTGGGCACTGATGGGCTACAGCTCCCACTGGTGAGCATGAGAACCAGGACTGGGGGTGGGCCTGGCTAGATAGACAGTGGCACCTGCTGGCATGAGTGTGGGCTGGAGGGTGGAGTCGGCTGGGATGAGTTAAGCTTCAACACCCAATTATGTATATGAGAGCTGAATGGGAAGTGGGGCTGCCCAGACCAGTCTGCTGCATATGCTGGCAGGCAGAGAAATCAGGCTGGTGGCCAGCTCCATGGGGGTTACTGGGGGTGTGGGAGAGCTGCAGCTGCTGATGGTGTACATGAGAGCCGAGTATGTGGTGGGCAGAGTTGGGCTGGGCCACAGCACCCATTGGTTTATATAAGAAATGGGGCTAGAGATAAATCTAACCTAGCAATGGTAATTGCCAATGTTTACATAGGCTGATGTGGGTGACAAAACAAATTGGACCCCGTACAGGTGGGCGCACACACAAGAGAGGTCTGAGGTCACCTTGAATGAGATTGTATTGAGGATCTCCTCAACTAAACTGGACTCATAACTCCAACCACAGGGAGAATGGCAGGACCTGTGGTCTGACAATGGAGTGCATCTGTCAAAACAAGACCTCCTTAGTGGCTTTGACGGAGCAGTGGACAGCATACCCAGAGGCATATGGAGGATATGTCAGACCATTGGAGCCTGCAGAAGACACCTGGTACCATAGCAGAGGAAAGAGGGCAGAACAAATTGATCAACTACCCCAGTGAAGCATGACAGCAAATATCTGAGCAAATGGAGACTCAGAGGTGGACTGTGTCAACCAATGGACCTTGGAAGGATATCCTCATCCTTGCATCGGCAAGATCAACAGCATTTCAGAACTATTGAAACCACTTAAGCAGAACCCTTGAGGCATGCTCCACATGAGGGACTTCGGGATGACATCGAGTGGCCATTCCCCATCCCTGGGTGCTGAACCAGTTGGGAGGCTGGGTGTGGCTTCTCCCCTTGTCTCTCCCTTTCTCCCAGATACAGGAAGAAGGAAAGGAAAATGTGGAAACAATGGTCTCACCCATTTTCCCCTTATCCTGGACCCTTTTTGTCCTAATCAACCGTTAACTCATCAAAAATAAAATAAAATAATTTTTTAAAAATGGAGCAAATGAAACACAAAGTGATGTCCATATAGGATGCCAACATCACAGGCAATGGCTTAATCAAATATGCCACAAGGATGGCCCTTACTTAAAATTTTATTTAGTTACTTATTAAAGATATTATTTATTAAAGATTATAATTAATTGATTGATTAATTAAAAATTTAGCCATTGAGCCATCATGCTGGGCCCCTTAATTTTTAAAAAATGATTAATTGTTATTTTTTTAAGATTTATTTTTATTTACTTGAAAGAGATACAGAGAGAGAAATGGAGAGACTGAAGTCTTCCATCTTGTGGTCCACTCCCATAATGGTTCTAATGGCTACAACTGGGCAAGACTGAAGTCAGGGGCTTCTTCTGGGTCTTCCACAGGCGGACAGTTGCCCAAGCACTTGAGCCGTCTTTTATTGCTTTTCCAGTTGCATTAACAGGGAGCTGGATTGGAAGTGAAGAAGTGGAAACTCAAACCAGCACCCCCACGGGCTGCTAAAACTTGTAGAAAAACAGCTATGCCACAACACTGACCCCTAATTATTTTTTTAAGATTTATTTTAAAATTTATTTTAAAGGCAAAGTTATACATATTCCATCCACTCATTTACTCCCCATGTGACTACCACAGCCAGGACTGGCGCTGCTGAAGTTTGGAACCTGGTGCTAATCCAAGTCTTCCCTATCATATTGAGCACCTTCATACCTGAGTTTTTTCCAGTGCCTTTCCAGGTACGTTAACAGGGTGCCAGATGGGGAGTGTTGCAGTGGAGGCTTGAACCACTGGAATTCGGTGCCCATATAAGATGCCAGCATCCCAGGTTGTAGCTTGATGAAATGGCCACAGTACTGACCCTATGTGGTTATTAGTTTTTGAATATTTTACTTTGCAGGTTTTGCTTTTATGTCTAATAATGTAGTACACTTCTTTGTATTGTTGTTGTATTTCACATTATTTCTTCAGGGTAATTCTTAGGAATGGAGTAAGAGCCTAAGATTTTGACAGGTGATAGGAGGTTTCAGAAAGGAGGAGTAGGAGTAAAAGGCTTAGGCCATGTGCTTCACTCACAACTCAGCTAGAGGTTCTTTCTTCTAGGTTCTCCTTTCCCACTCATAGAGATGCCAGCAGTTATTACTGGGTTAAGATGTACCATGAACAACATTGTGGCTTAATAAAGTACAGAGATTAATAGGAGATTGGCCTACTTTATTACTTAATACTTTTCCTAATTCCCTGAAAGTCACCTTTCCTTTCACTAAATGGCTATAGCATGTTTATTGTGCCATTCACAAGGCATTTTCCATTTCTCATTTTAAAAATTAATTTTTTTAAGATTTATTTAATTTCTATTGGAAAGTCAGATATACAGAGAGGAGGAGAGACAGAGAGGAAGATCTTCTGTCCGATGATTCACTCTCCAAGTGGCCGCAACAGTCGATGCTGTGCCAATCCGAAGCCAGGAGCCAGGAACCTCCTCCAGGTCTCCCATGCAGTTGCTGGGTCCCAAGGCTTTGGGCCATCCTCGACTGCTTTCCCAGGCCACAAGCAGGGCGCTGGATGGGAAGAAGAGCTACTGGGATTAAAACCAGTGCCCATATGGGATGCTAGCGCTTGCAAGGTGAGGACTTAAACCCCTAAGCTATCGCGCTGTGCCCCTAAAAATTAATTATGTTTTTATTTTTGAAAGACAGATTTACAGAGAGAGATTTTCTATCCGTGGATCACTCCACAAATGGCCACACTGGCCATAGCTGGGCTGGTTCAAAGCCAGTCGTCAGGAGCTTCAACCAGGTCTTCCACATGGGTGCAGGAGCTAGATCAGAAATGAGGGCAATCAGGATTTGAACTAGCACCCCTATGGGATGCTAGCACAGCAGGCAGAGGCTTAGGCTAATATGCCATTGCACCTGCCCCTCTTCATTTGTTTTGTATTTGTATTCATCTATGATGTTTATTGAAAGCAAAGTTATTATTTTTTATCACCTAACGAAGTGTCTTGAAGGTAGTATATATTGCATAAGTATTCAATGAATGAAGGAAATGGGTGACGGGGGCCCAAGCACTTTGGCCATCTTCTCTGCTTTTCCAGGACTTCATCAGGGAGCTGGATCTGAAGTGGAGCAGCTTGGACTCAAACAGGTGCTGACATGGAATGTTGGCCACTTCTGATCCAGATTACTGGCAGTGTGACTAGAAAGACAGCACATGGTGGCCACAGTGCTTGGGTCCATGCAACCCAGCGGGGAGGATTGGATGAAGTTCCTGGCTCTTGGCTTGCCCTGGCATAGCCCCAGCTTTTACAAGCAGTTAGGATGAACCAGCAGATGGACGATCTTTCCTTTTTCTGTTACTGCCTCTGCCTTTCAAAAAAGAATGGAGGATGTTTCAGAAAGTTGTACCACCTGACTTAGAGCAGACCATTGAAAGGAAAAAAGGACCCAAATTATTGATAGCAATATTCAGTTCATTTTGAGTAGATTTGTGCTGCTTTCATTGAGGTTATACTTTCAGGCAAAAGCTTTGGCACATGGGCACCACTCCCCAGCGTAGTGTTGTGGTATCGGTAGGTACTCTGTTTTTTCCTTTTGCTCAGTTTGGCACTGAGGCAAAGCAGTAAAAGAGCTCTTTTGACTTCTGCTTGGTTTCTCCTGTCCCTCTTGTATTTGAATGAGTTCATGGATGGCTTGTGTTGACAAATTAAAAAAAATTTTTTTTTGGTAATTATATTAGTAGTATGTTTACAGTGTTTTTCATTGACTTTCCTAGGCTGGATTTTGATGATGATGGAGAAGGGAACAGCAAGTTTTTGAGGTAAGATTTTTGAAGAACTTTCTCTTAAATTTATTAACATTATAAATTTTTTTAAGGAGCTGTTTCATCTTAAAACTGTAAATTTTTGTGTTTTATGCCCAACATCTTTTAAACATTCTATTATTAATAGTTGCAGAGAAAGGCCTTCAGTGAGGAGAGGCAGGTGGCTTACAAGGCTGCTGTGTCAGTTACCCATTAGTGCAGGTGCTTGCTGTTTCTCAGAGATTTGTAAATTATCTGTGTGCTTAGTCTGTTGATCTTTCTCACACCAGCTCATAAGATTGCATTCAGCTAGCTGGTCCACTAGAGGTTTGACCCAGCTGGGATGGCTGGTGTTTCCCTCTCTGTGGTCTTTTACCCCCAGAGAAGACAGACTGTTTCTTCCCTTGGCTGTGGCTATATTGTAAGAGCACCTGTCAGTGTGTGGTGCTTATCAAGCTTCTGCATACATGATATTTGCTAACATCTCATTGGCCAAAGCAGGTCGTATGTTCAACTCCTGAGTCAGTGTGGGAGGAGGCTACAGGAGTGGAATATGGGAGGTATGATTTATTAATGTACTCCTTTATCATACTGTTTGTTACTTGTTCACTCCTCCTATCAGGAATTGGATTTTGTATCCTTGAGTTATGAATCTTATGGAACATTAAATACGGGTTTTTTAAAAAATAAATTCAAGAAAGGATCTTTCAAAAAGAGGGGATATTCTATTTTTTTTTTTCATTTTTGAGTTAGCCCCCGATAAGGGTAGCAGATTTAATTGTACAAACAGGTTCCACAGACCACCATAAGGTATTTTTTTTAAAAAAAGATTTGTCTTTTTTTGAAAGGCAGATTTACAGAGAAAAAGAGAGAGAGAGAAAGATCTTCCATCCGCTGTTTCTGTCTCAGCCCTTGCTGAGCTGATCTGAAATCAGGATCTAGGAGCTTCTTCCTGATCTTCCATGTGGGTGCAGGGTCCCAAGGCTTTGGGCCTTCTTCTATTGCTTTCTCAGGCCACAAGCAGGGAGCTGGAAGGGAAGTGGAGCAGCTGGAATAGTAGCCAAAACCCATGTGGGATTCTGGTGCATGCAAACAAGGACTTAAGCACTAAGCTCTTGCACTAGGCCCTGCATCGAGTATTTAAAGGAGACTGCTTAAACACTGATGGTGGAAATATGAATTAAACACTATGGAAAACAGTATGGAGATTTCTTAAAAGACTAGAAACACAAATTGCCATTTGATTCAACAATTCTCTATTGGGTATATACTCCAAAAATATGAACATGTTGTTTCAAAGTGATACCTGGGCTACTATGTTTATCATTGTTTATTTTTTTTAAGTTTTATTTATTTGTTTTAATTGTTATTAACATTGTATTATGTGATACAGTTTTATAGACACTGGGATTCCCCCCACCCCTACCACAACCCTCCCCCCATAGTGGATTCCTCCACCTTGCTGCATAACCACAGTTCAAGTTCAGTTGAGATTCCTTCATTGCAAGCATATACCTAGTATAAAGTCCAGCATCTTATTGTCCAGATAAGTTCAGTGGCTTCTTGGGGAGACCTTCTCTAGTCTGAAGGTAGAGCTAACAGAGTAAAGTTCCGGTCAGTTAAAAGCCCCAACAAAACATCAGCATCAATATACAATGTTATGGAATTAATTGACATAGTATTGAGTAAACAATATGTTAAAAATAATGCAAGTTCAATTCTTCAAAACACCTGGGTTGAGACAGTATCAATGACAGGTTCAAAAAGTAACAAACAACCAAACAAAAATTACAGGTTAAATCAAGGCAAACATGTGGTATCTAACCTTTTGGGATTCGCTTATTTAAGAGGGGATATTCTTGATGAATATCAACTGCTTAACTTTTTGCAAGTTAAAAGAACTGTTAAGACTCAAAGAAAGGGGCCCGGCAGCGTGGCCTAGCAGCTAAAGTCCTTGCGTTGATTGCGCCAGATCCTGTATGTGTGCCGGTTCTAATCCCAGCAGCTCCACTTCCCATCCAGCTCCCTGCTTGTGGCCTGGGAAAGCAGTCGAGAACAGCCCAAAGCCTTGGGACCCTGCACCCATGTGGGAGACCCGGAAGAAGTTCCTGGCTCCTGGCTTTGGATCGGCATAGCATCGGCCATTGCGCTCACTTGGGGAGTGAATCATCGGATGGAAGATCTTTGTCTCTGTCTCTCCTCCTCTCTGTATATCTGACTTTCCAATAAATAAATAAATCTTTAATAAAAAAAAAAGACCCAAAGAAAGGAAGATAACCTGAACTGCACCCTGCCTTTCTCTTTCTGATGTTAAAAATATTACTCAAATAGTCTATATTTGATAAATAAAAGAACTGTATTGTTTTAAAAAGTCGCTTGTTGATGTGGGTGCCCAGATTTCATTTATTTGTTGTTATTTATTGATTGATTTTATTAACTAAGTTGTGATTGAGTGATTTGAAAGGCAGAAAGACAGAGACTGAGATCTTCTATCCACTGACTCACACCCCAAATGCCTGCAACAGTTGGGACTCGGCCAGGCCAAGGCCCAGAGCCAGGAATTCAGTCTGTGTCTCCCACATCACAAGGACCCAACTACCTGAGCTGGCATCCATTGCCTCCAGGGTGTGTATTACAGGAAGCAGGATTGAAAGCAGAGCTGGCACAAGATGCAGGCATCCTAAGTAGTATCTTAGTTATTGTGTCAATATTAGTTTTTATGTTTTTACCAAAGGATGTCTGTATAATAAAGTATGTGGCACTGTATAGTTTTAAAATACTTAGTATAATCAGTAACATTTGTCTTTTTATAGTCACAAAGTTAAAGCTAATATTTCTTTTATTGACCAGTTGATGAATTTGCCCTAATATGCTCTGAAACAACAATGACTTGGCCACCATAAAGCCATAGTTGCAGATGAAAGTAATTCTCCAGGAAGTCTCTTGAGACTTGATGATTCTTAGTGTATGTGAAGGGGGAAAGGAATTTCAGTTTGTGGCAAAGAACAGGCTTTTTAATATAACCTGTTCTTTTTTTATATTGGGAATTTGTGCAAATAAGAATCCCTAATTATAATGAAAATGATACTGGTGGAACTACATTGTTATGTAAATATAAAGCTATCCTCGAATTTGTCTTATTTATGCCTGTCTGAGTCACCATTTCTGAGAAATCCGGTAGTTATTACTAAAGTCCCATGCTGCCTAAACAACGTTTTTGTCAGTTGATGAGGGACACATGCAACAGCAGTTTTGTACGAGTAAAGTGGAGGGACCGGCAGTGTTATGCAGCAGATTAAGTGCTGCCGAGATGCTGGCATCCCATATGATTTATGTTCTGGCTGCCCCACTTCCAATCCAGCTTCCTGGTAATGTTCATGGGAAAGCAGGGAAAGTTGTCCCAAGTACTTGTGCCTCTGCCACCCATGTGGAAGACCTGGATGGAGTTCTTGACTTCCTACTTTAAATCTGGACCAGTCCTAAATGTGTCTCTGGAGTGAGCCAGCAGGTGGGAAGTCTCTCTGTTTCTTGTCTCCTTGTCTCCCTGTCTCTCCTGCTCTCTCTGTAACTCTTTCAAATAAACAAATAAATAAATAATAATAAATAGATCTTTTTTTAAATAAAAAAACTAGGCCAATAATAGCTGTAGTTTTTGTTTTTGTTTTTGTTTTTTAATTGGAAAGTCAGATTTACAGGGAGAAGGAGAGACAAAAAGAAAGATCTTCCATCCGCTGTTTCACTCCCCAGGTGGCCGCAATGGCTGGAGCTGAGCTGATTCAAAGCCAGGAGCCAGGAGCTGCTTCTGGGTCTCTCATGTGGGTACAGGGTCCCAAGGCTTTGGGCCGTCCTCAACTGCTTTTCCAGGCTATAAGCAGGGGGTTAGAAGGGAAGTGGAGCAGCTGGGATTCGAACTGATTCCCATATGGGACCCTGGCACATTCAAGGTGAGCACATTAGACACTAGACTACCGCACTGAACCCAGTTGTAGATTTTTTAAAAGTTCATCCTAAGTGATGGCTTAACAACAATGCCACAACACCCTCCCCTAGCAGTTTTTTTAAGTTCTGTGGGATGCTGTTTCTACCGATTGATTTGTGATTCTTTTCTATTGGCTTTATTATTTTCTTTCTGTGGAGTTTTTTTGTTTTCCATTCTGGTTTTCATTTCAACATGAAATAGACATAATAAGTACAAAATTTTCACCTCATACTGGTTTTCTTCTTCAGGTGTGATGACGATCAGATGTCTAATGATAAGGAGCGGTTTGCCAGGTAATGGAGTAGAACATCTTGGTTGATGATGTGGGGATAAGGCAGGTCAACCATACTGAATTTTATCTGGAGCAGAGTAAATGTCTCTGTTCGTTCTTCACTATTTTGGAAAGTGCAAAAATATTGTAAATAATTATTATTTATGTTTAGGTACATGGCTTCAAACTAGTGGTGTGTGTATATATATAAAGATTTAGTTATGTAAAAAGCAGAACAACACAAAGAAAATTTCATGTGGCAGTTTAACGTGCCATTACATTGACCACTAGTGTGTACATTATATGGTGTTTTTCTGTGTATGTGATAGCAAAAGGAGTGTACTTGTTAGATATTTATAGAAATACAAACTGTGGAATTGTTGGTTCCAGTTAATTATTAAATTGTTATGCCAAATCTATACAGATAATAGTTTTTACTCTTTTAAAGCATGACAATATAGAAACAGTTTTTATGGAAGCTGGAGTTTTGATTTAAAAGTTAAGCTTAAATGTGACTTGTCAACTCATCACGCTTGGAGTGGCGAGATTGGCAGTGATTTGTAACTGTTGAACTATCAAAACCACTTGAGCAAGAATCTCAGAGCATGCCCCACATCTGGGACCTGGGGTGGGTGGGAAACTGGGTAGGGCTTCTCCCTCAATATCCCCCTTTACCCCAGATACATGAAGGAAACAATATGGAAATAATAGCCTTACCTGCTTTCCTATTAAAAAAAAAATGTGACTTGTCAAAATGATGCAATTTTTTTTTACTTCTTATTAAGGAGTAAATTGTTTCAATTGCTACTAGTTTTTCTTTTAGAAGTCAAAATACATTACTAAGCAATAAATTATTTCTTTTTTAAAAAATTAAGTTTGTGGCCACCTCTGAAAAGTGAATAGACTATTATTTCAAAATATATTACTTATTATTTATTCCTTGTTAATGCTGCCAGTCTGTTGACCATCCTTTGAGAATCTGTTGTAGAGGGCTAAGAAATCTCAGAGTAGTTTGAAACACTGAGGAAATAAAATGCTTTGAATTAGAGAATGCAGCATAAATTATATTGTAGAGATATTTCTCTGGTAGCAATTTGTAGGAATAATAAAAGAGAAGAACTGTAGTATGGAGGCAAATAGGAAATGGTCAGATAGCCATAAAACTGTAAATGCCTGCACCAGAGTAGTATCATGATAGTTGGAATGGAGTGAATTTCAGAATATTTCCTTTTCTCTCCTCTCCTGTCCTTCCCTCCTCTCTCCTATCCTTTCTCCTCTCCTCCCTGCCCTTTTCCCCTCCCCTTGAGTGCTATTAGTCTATTCTCCTGACTGAAATTCCAAAACCCAAGAAAATATGACTTACTAATTTAATCTTCTGTTTTTTCCTGTTTAGTGTGAATATTTATACAGTCATTCTTTAAAAATATTGAAGTGGATAAGAGACTATGGATCTATTGTAATAAAAACAATAGTAATGAAAGTTTTAGATGTTTAAGCAATAGGCCTCATGGCTTTGAGATATCATTTGTTAAGGCAGTTGGCCTCATGTTCTTGGAAATTCAATTCAGGGTTTTCACAAGCTGAAAAATCTATGAATTCTCTCAACTGAATAAAATGCTTCATAGTTTTTCAAGAAACATGAAATTCTAAGCTACTTAAAGCATTCAGTTCTATCTCTTTAGAACACATGCGTAAAACTTTACATACTTTTCATTATTACCATGTTACTGTGTGTGTATTTAAAGATTTCTTTATTTGAAAGGCAGAGTGACAAAGAGGCAGAAACAGAGAAAAAGAGATCTTCATTTGCTGGTTCTTGCTCCAAGTGTCTGCAGTAGCTGGGGTTAGGCCAGGCTAAAAGCCAAGAGTCAGGAACTCCATCCCGTTCTCCCTTGCGGCTGGCAGGTGCCCAAGTACTTGGTCATCTACTGTTGCTTTCCCAGATTTATTAACAAGGTGCCTGATTGGAAGCGGAGCAGCCTGAACTTGAACTGGCACCACAGGCAGTGACATATCGCTATATTTTGCCATTTTACTGACCATTTTATTGATATTTTCCCATATGCTGATTAGGTCAGTGTCATTTTTGTTAAGGGTGGAATCTTTTAGCTTGTTAATGTCATGCTTTATTTTGGGGGGGTTTTGGTATGTATATATATAAAATACTGATTATATAAATACTGATTAATACATATTATTATGTTGAATACTAATTAATTAATCAGTAACTGGATACTGATACATTGAGCCGCCAATGCTATGCTGTTTCCTTACTTGCCACCTACTCTTAAAATATCTTAGTTTTCTACAAAAATTTAGTGATAACTAAGTACTATAGCGGGGGAGTTGATAATGGAGATTTAGTCATGTTGTGACTTTACTCCAGAGAAATGCAAAAATAATTTTAAGATAATTATGAGTTGCTTTAGGAACAAATCAGTGATAGAGGACAAATGGCAAAACAGTTCTTAGTTTTATCTGATTGCTCTAGTGAAACCTGTTTGTTGTTTTGATCTGAGCATGCGTTGTGATCATTTTTTTGACACTCATGTTTACTTTTAGCATTTTCAATATAGAATAGCACACGTAGGTGGATATAATTTTCTCTTCAGATTGGGAGTATTGTATGAAAGTGGCATCCCTGAATTCCATCGGTTCCTTTTCAGACCCTGTATATTCTGTTCTCTAGAGAGACTGACTCACAAAGTGGTTTCTGTGTTCAAGCTCATATTAATTTGTAGTGTATATTGGCCTTGTGTTGATGTTGATCTTTGTCCTTTTTTTTCTTTTTCCTAACTGGTGGTTTTCTAGAGTTTTAGACACAATTCTTGGCCTTATTTCCAGTTTTTCCACCTTTACTCTGCAACTATATTATTCTGTTTCTGTTTTGCTTTTCTCCTTCTTTCCTTGCCTGATTTCCTCCTTCCTACCTTCCTTCTTCCTTTCTTTCATCCGTCCCTCCCTCCCTTTTATTTTAATTTAGCTTAGTTCATTAATTCTGTTTTTAGGTCGGATGATGAGCAGAGCTCTGCGGATAAAGAGAGACTTGCCAGGTAGGAGAACAGTGTCTTTCAGCATGATGAAGCAGAAGATGCTGCTTTTTCTATCTTTTTTTCTTACTCTGCCTTTTCTTCCCCCTTTCTCTTTGTGTCTTTCCTTATCTGTGGCAAAAGAGGACGAGATTTTTTAGAAGTTTGGGTGTAACAGAAACTTTGGCTTCCCTCATCAGAAAGTTGGTGAGTTGAGGGAACTTTACTTAGGGATTTAAGAAACTGCTATTTTTTTTTTTCTTATTTTCACCTATGTCAGCATCAAGTTCCAAAGAACCCAAAGGTTTCAGAAATAATGCAGCAATGCCAGTTGTTCTTTTAACATGAAATGCCCTTATTATCGGAAAACCAGTAAATATTTCTGTATTTGGAATTGAATCTGAGTATTCGGGCTTCAGCCTATGCACATTTATAGGAAACTCACTGATCTTTGCCTGTGTTGGCTCACAGCCAGATTATTACTATGTCACAACGAAGGTTGTAACTTTGGAGGCTAAATTTTTTGTTTTAGTTTCCCAGAAATGTCTTGCCTGCCTTGATATGGATTTATTTATTTAAAAGATCTGATTTCTGAATCTCAGTGTCAGAAGTCTGCCTGATAAAAGAAATACAGATGCTTTATGCTAGAGTAGAATTATGTGTCTTAGACCGACTACATCTGGTACCATGTATGATTTCTTTCTCCATTTGGAAAGGAGACATACAATTCTTTCTGGAGACTTTTGTCCATAACACAGAAATACTATATAAGAAATGTGCCCAAGTTTCTATGTTTTCTGGTCTCTGTGATTTGGCATATTTTATAGGAAGTATGCCAAACCTGGTTTTCTGTGTTTTTTCCCCCTCCCTTTATCATTTACTTCTTTAAAACTGGGTCACAAGCTCATTTTGCTGACATTTCAACTCATGCCATCTACTACTTTTTTTTTTTTTTTAAGATTTGTGTGTTTTCATCTGAGAGGCAGAATTATAAAGAGAAGGAGAGATGGAGATATGGAGGCAGAGAGGGAGGGGGAGAGAGAGAGAGAGAGAAAGAGAAAGAGAGATCTTCCATCTGCTGGTTCACTTTCCAAATGGCCACAGTGGCTGGAGCTGAGCCAATCCAAAGCCAGGAGCCAGAAGCTTCTTGCAGATTTCCCACATGGATGCGGAGCCTGTGCATTTTGGCAGTCTGTTTTCTCAGGCCATTAGCAGGGAGCTGGATGGAAAGTGGAGCAGCTGGGATGGATGCCCACGTGGAATGCTGGTGCTGCAGGCAGAGGCTTAGTGTTCTAGGCCACTGCACTGGACGCTAATACTTTACTCTTTCAAAACTGGTTTGGAATGCTGTGGTGAGGAAATCTCTGTACCAGGAATGAGAGCAGCCCGAGAAAGCAGTCACTTAACAGCTGACCTCAGATAGCTTTTCTCATGAAAAAGAAATACATGTTAGTCATTCCGCTCCCCTTTTGACAAAGAACCTTGTTTAACAAGGACCCTTAACTGGTAATTGAAGTAAGTAAAAGTGATAAAGCTTCTCCAGAAGCAGAAGTGCAGCATGCTGTTGGTTCTTCCCCCGAGGCCCAGGGAAAACAACCAAGGAAGGTCCTGGGCTTCACAAAATGCACCTTGAAAAACCAATTGATTATTTCTTTGCCCAGTAATACCTTTTTTCAGTTTTGAGGAAATATTGCTGAAGGTGTGCTGTTCACCTTGGTGGTGTCCAAATTGTCTATTTCTAGGCCTTATACAGCATTGATTGCTATACCCCATTCCTGCTCCCCAGTTAACTTTGTTCCAGACTGGGAGCCCATATGAGACTTGTAGTACATAGTGCTTTATGAGCCTTTTGTGTGCTATGTCCTGATAAAGATGATAGGACTTTAGGCATTAGTGAGACAAATGAATTTTAGAAACTTTCCATTTTCTTCTAGTGTTGTAAGAGAGACAGAACAAAACAACACTTTATGAACCAACAAAAATCTACACTATCAGCTCTTACGTCAGCTATTGAGCAACTTACTTGATTAGGCAAAAATCAGTTGTTTTATTTTCTAGCTTAAACAAGTGAATTAGTAAACATGTGGTCAATCAAGTTGAGATTAGTTGTCCCTTAAGAATTTAAATAAATGAAACAAAACATGTTAAAGTATTGTTTCTTAAAACATCTTTTGTTTCAAGGAAATAATAGTGTACATAGTAAGTGAAGTTTCTAGAGCATCAGAGGAATTGTGTTACCTGCTCGTTTGTCTGCCCTGTTAGTTTCTTTTCTATGCTTGCTCTGCATGAGGTTGGCAAACCCTTACTTTAGCTTCTGAGACGTTAAGCATCATGAAATCTAAATACCGCCTTGCCCAGCAGCCTGCTTGGTATCCTTGTCATTCTTTTTGCTACCAAATGACCAGATGTGACCACGTGGGTGGGGATTCTCTCTCTTTTATACAGGGAAAATCATAGTGAAATTGAAAGGCGACGGCGGAACAAGATGACAGCTTACATCACAGAGTTGTCAGATATGGTACCAACCTGTAGTGCCTTGGCTCGGAAACCAGACAAACTAACCATCTTACGCATGGCTGTTTCTCATATGAAGTCCTTACGGGGAACTGGCAACACGTCCACGGATGGCTCCTACAAGCCGTCCTTCCTCACTGATCAGGTCTCTGGGTTTTAAAACTTATGTCTAGGGTGTGGGTAAAAGTTGTGTAGTTATTTTTTTTGGGGGGGCGAGGCAGGGGAAAGAATTCTTTTTTTTTAAAGATTTATTTTTATTATTTTTTTATTGGCAAGGCAGATATACAGAGAGGAGAGACAGAGAGGAAAATCTTCCGTCCGATGATTCATTCCCTAAGTGAGCACAACGGGCCGATACTATGCCAATCCGAAGCCAGGAGCCTCTTCCGGGTCTCCCACGCGGGTGCAGGGTCCCAAAGCCTTGGGCTGTCCTCGACTGCTTTCCTGGGCCACAGGCAGGGAGCTGGAAGGGAAGTGGGGCTGCCGGGATAGAACCGGCGCCCATATGGGATCCTGGGCGTGCAAGGCGAGGACCTTAACCACTTGCGCCACCGCGCCAGGCCCAAGAATTCTACTTTTCAGGAAAAATTCAGGTCTGTGAAGAAGTAAGTTTTCCCTTAGCCTGTAACATTCATTGACTTAGGTACAGTGAGAAGTAGCAAAGTGTTATGAAAACCATTTAGCAAAATTGCAATTATTTTGTAGCTTTACTTATAAATATATCAAGGTTGAAGAACAACAGTGAAATCAGTGCAATTGTTATACCAATGGAAAAAGTCCTCTTCCTTGCTTTTTTTGTTATAGATAATGTAAAAACATTGATTTTGATTTTGTTGTTGTTGTTTGTTTCTGAAAACAGTTGCTGGATTGAGTGATAGGAGCCTCAGAGGCCATCATTGTTTGAGGATGTGCTCCATCAAATTTAATGCACTTTGAGAAGAATAGAGATGGCTGAAACTTTTTGCTTTTCAGACTCATTCTGTGTGTAAATATGTCAATGGCAGGATACACAGCAAAGTGAAAACTGGTAGTGAAATACAGAGAATGAATACCTTTTAAAATTAATAATGTATGTCAGAATAGATCTGTACTGAAGGAATGGCTAGAGTGAATGGAGTGGATATACTTGAGTCAGTGGTTAGGAAAAGCTTCTCAGGGTACTGCTACCTCGTAATGATTAAAAATAAAAAAATTGTAGGAAAAGTTTGTTAATACAGAAAGTATAAGGAAGAACACAATCTACCTATCATACTTTTTTTTTTTTTTAAGTTTTTAGAGCTTTTTTTTGGTAAGATTTATTTATTTGAAAGATGGAGTAGGGGGACAGGTGGGAGGGCTATCGCCTTTCTCCTGGCTTACTTCCCAAATAGTTGCAACAGTCAAGGCTGGGCCAGGCTGCAACCAGAACCCTTGATATGCATCCCTGTCTCCTACCGTGTTTTCCCAGACTTATTAGCAGGCAGCTGGCTTGGAAGTAGAGCAAATAGGAACTGTGACCTGCTGTACCACAGTGCAGGTTCCCAAAGCTGTTTTAGTCAAATCATTGAAAAGTATATTGAATAAGAGTTCTGCAAATAGGATAGTATATTTTAAGGCATGTGTAATACAAATTTTATAGCTACGTATGTTGAAATTTTAATTTGTTTTTTTAAAATTTATATTTATTGGAAAGATAAAATTGTAGAGAGAAGGAAAGACAAAGAAAAAGATCCTCTGTCCACTGGTTTCTTTCCCCAAATGGCTGCAATGGCCTCGCAAAGTCAATCTGAAGCCAGGAGCCAGGAGCTTCTCCTGGGTCGCTGACATGGGTGCAGAGTCCAAAGACTTTGGACCATCTTCTACTGCTTTCCCAAGCCACAAGCAGAGAACTAGATGAGAACTGGGCGGCTAGGACATGAACCACTGCCCAAATGGGAACCCAGCACATGCAAGGCGAGGATTTTAGCCACTGAGCTACACTCCAAGCCCTAATTTGCTCATAGCTATCGATTCAACAAACTCCAGGTAGAAGAACCAGGAGCTTTGTGCCTTCAATCATATAGGATGATGAATTAGTCATTGGTGGAAACAGACATGTAAATAAATAAACAATAAATAGGTTTCTGTAATAGAGACATAGTAATAAGTCCTGTAGATGTACACGTGGAAATTTGAAGAATTTAGACTTAGTTTAGATTTGGGGAATAAGTTGGGGAGAAATTTAGAAGTGTGAATATATTTGAGTTATCCAAGGAAAGTCAAGTAGGGTTTAGAATACTTTAGGAAATTATAAGGTAGACTGGACTGGAGGGTGGAATGTACAGGTGTTACTTAGATTTTAATTTTTTACACAATGGGGAGCCATCAAAAATAGATTGTATCTGGTATCAAAGGATAAATTGGAGGGAGTGAAAACAGCAAAGCTAATATGTGAATATTTGTCAAACAGGATCCTAAAGAGACTAGAAAGGCTGGGATGAAGGAGTCAGTGATTGTTAGTAAGCCTTCTTATTGCCTCTTCTGAATCCTTAGAGAAAGAACAAAACATGATAGCAATAAAGAAATTGAGAAAATATCCATTGACAATAACTTTCTTGTCAAAGAAAGCTTTGCATTTAGGGTGGAAATTTCTTCCAGTGGTTCAGGTATGACGCAGCAGCTATTTATGGAGATACACGAAGCCTGAGTAGAAATATTTGTTCTTTGCGATTTTAGTGTTAACTTGTCTTTGTTTTCCTTGGGCAGGAGCTGAAACATTTGATCCTGGAGGCAGCAGATGGATTTCTGTTCATTGTCTCGTGTGAGACAGGGCGTGTGGTCTATGTCTCGGACTCCGTTACGCCAGTTTTGAACCAGCCACAGTCTGAATGGTTTGGCAGCACACTTTACGATCAGGTGCACCCAGATGATGTGGATAAACTTCGTGAACAGCTTTCCACATCAGAAAATGCCCTGACAGGTGAGAGTTCTGTCTATTGGAAAATGAGTGAAAAGTCCTTTTTCTGAGGCATAAGAGATATTTTAGCTACTTAAACTGGCTTGTTGACTCTGGCAAGGCTTCTAGAACTTTCCCCTAAATTAATATCAGTTTCTTTTATTCACATGTAGATTATCTAGTTTGTAGCTAATCCTTAGGAGGTGTTTTATTAGTGATAAGGCTCATATAAAAGTTTATTTTGTTAACATTATTGTACAGAAAATTGTAAAATCTGAATCATTCACATGGATAATAGTATTGTGTTCGGCCCTGCTGTGCTTGTCTTCATACTGATTCTTTGAATTTATTTCATGTTTGGATACTTTGCCAACATATAAGATATTTACTCTTGTGCTATTCCTCACCTCTCTCTACTGCTTCCCACCCTCTTTTTTAAAAAAAGATTTATTTGTTTTTTTATTGGAAAGTTAGACATACAGAGAGGAGGAGAGACACAGATCTTCCGTACATTGATTCACTCCTCAAGCGGCCTCAATAGCCACAGCTAAGCTGAGCCAAAGCCAGGAGTCAGGAGCTTCTTCCAGGTTTCTCATGCAGGTACAAGTTCCCAAAGCTTTGGGCCTTCCTCGCCTGCTTTCCCATGCCACAATCGGAGCTGGATGGGAAGCGGGGCTGCCGGGATTAGAACCACTGCCCATATGGGATTCCAGCGCATGCAAGGCGAGGATTTTAGCTGCTAGGCTACTACACTGGGCCTGTTCTGCCCCTTTTTAAAGCTATTTTAAAGGTTTTACTTTTTTTGCCAGCACTTTTCTAGGGGTAAAAAGTCAAATCTGGTTCTGAGCAACTCTAGGAATAAAGTTTTTAAGTGGGAAGGAAGAAAAACTGATGCAAGAAATTCTAATGTGGCTAATGTTGGTCTTTAGTTTTCCCCTCTTCTCTGTTTTTTTTTTTTTCATCTGTGTTTGTTTTGTTTTTGCGTTCTCTCTTCCCAAAAGCCTGACCTTTGTTTCTGTTTAATCATCAATTTTAGTTTGAGACAAATATTTTTGTGTAGCGTTTAAAATTAGTTGTTTTTAAATCAATGAAATTACTTTATCTGTGTGTACGTGTGAGGTAATTATATTCATGTGTATAATCAGACACAAGAATATAACTTTGCCTCTTTCTTTCCACTACACTTTGCACTCCCACCTTTCCTTGTACAAGGTTATTTCCAGTGCTGCCTTTGGACTTTGGTGACATGTACTGAGGAGAATTGAAGTATTGCATGGTTGGGAAGAATTCCATCTCCTGCTTGGCCTTGTTACACAGAAGGAAGCCAGGCGTCTCTACTATGAGTCCTACTTATTTTTGCCTGTGGTTTCATCTTCTTAACTACTCACAAGAATGCATTCCAAACTGGTCTTCCCCTCTCCCTTCAGGGCGTATCCTGGATCTAAAGACTGGAACAGTGAAAAAGGAAGGTCAGCAGTCTTCCATGAGGATGTGTATGGGTTCAAGAAGATCCTTTATTTGCCGTATGAGGTGAGTGTGAGGCCAAGGATCATCATTTGGCATAGAAATCATCAAGAGCTGAGGGTTTTGTTGCTTTCAGTGGAGTTAAATTTTTAAATCCAAGTTGCAATTAGATTTATGTTTTTGAAAAAAGATGTGCTTCTTTATTTGAAAGGCAGAATTAGAGAGAAGGACACACAGAGAGAGAGGAAGGGAGGGAGGGAGAGTCTTCAGTTTGTTGGTTCACACCCTCAGTGGCTGTAGTGGCTGGGGCTGCATCATTGAAGCCAGAATACAGGATACAGGAGCTTCATCCAAAGGCTTGGGTCATCTCTCACTACTTTCCCAGGCATCTTTTACCAGGGAGTTAGATCAAGTTTGGAATAGCTGGGACTCAAACTGTGGGATGCCAGCATTGCAGGAAGCAGCCTAACCTACCACTACACGGTCCCCCAGATTACAAAAAAATTTCTTTTTTAGATTTATTTATTTTTATTGCAAAGTCAGATTTGCAGAGAGGAGAGACAGTAAGATCTTCCATTCTCTGGTTCACTTCGCAAGTGGCCGTGATGACCAGAGCTGAGCCGATCTAAAGCCAGGAGCCAGGAGCTTCTTCTGAGTCTCACACGTGAGTGCAGGGTCCCACGGCCTTGATCCTTAACTGCTTTCCCAGGTCACAAGCAGGGAGCTAGAAGGGAAGTGGAGGAGCCAGGATATGAACTGGCGCCCGTATGGGATCCTGGCGCTTGCAAGGTGAGGATTTTAGCCACTAGGCTATTGCATCTGGCCCTACAGATTTAAATCCATCCATGATTAAATCTGTCTAAATGTGTTGTAAGAAGAAAAAATCTTTGTTAAGGGAACTGGAATTATTGTTATTGAACAGTTTACTATGCTACCACCATGTTAGATGCTTTATGTTCGTCTTATTTCATCTCCCAACAGCTCTGTGGTGTAAAATTCATTGTTATTATCTTACTGGTGAAAAATAGAGCTACAGGGGCTGATGCAGTGACACTGCACATTAATCCCCTGCTTGCAGCACAGGCATCCCATATGGATGCTGGTTCTAGTCCTGGATGCTGTACTTCCAATGCAGCTCTCTGTCAATGGCCTGGGGAAACAGCAGAGGAAGGCCAAGGGTTTGGGCCCCTGTACCCACATGACAGATCTAAAAGAAGCTCCTTCCTCCCTGTTTTGGAGTGGCTCAGCTGTGACCATTGCAGTTGTTTGCAGAGTAAAGCAGCAGATGGAAGATTTCTTTCTCTATCTCTCCCTCTCTTTTTGTAAATCTAACTTTCAAGGGGAAAAAAAAAAAGAAAGAAAAAAAGAGCTACAAAGGAATTAACTTTTCTAGATTGCAGTGGATAGTATATTATAATAGGGTTTTATTTTAATCTGTAGTAGCCTGACTGTAGTCCTTATGCTTTGTTCTCATTGCATCACTAGACACATCATCATACTGAGAACATTTCTGCATTATTTGTTTCTGAGGTTTTCTTGTGTCTTCAGATAGTATTTAGAATTTATTAACATTATGCTATACTCTTTAGGATTCTGTAGAAAAAATGATACTTGTTTCTATACAGGTAGCCGATGCGTCCCTTCAGTGAAGTTACAAAATCAGTTTAGGTTGTATGATAGATGTTGTCATTAAACACTATGTGTACATTAAGTTGGGAGAATGCCTGTTAGAAATGATGACTAAGATCTTAAAGACTGGCACCTGGTGCAGTGACTATAGGCTAATCCTCCACCTAAAGTGGCAGCATTCCATATGGGCATAGGTTCATGTTCCCAGCTGCTCCATTTCCCAGCCAGCTCTCTGCTTATGGCCTGGGAAAGCAGAGGATGACCCAAATCCTTGGGACCCTTTCCCCATGTGAAAGACCCAGAAGAAGCTCCTGGTTTCTTTCTAGCTCAGCTTTGGCCATTACAGCCACTTAGGAAGTGAATCAGAGAACGGAAAATCTTTTTCTCTGTCTCTTTCTGTAAACCTACCTTTCAAATAAAAATAAATCTTAAAACAAACAAAAAAAAAATTAGGGACCATTTTCCAGGAAAAGATAATATTGAGTATTATGTAGCTTAAATGCTTCCAGTAGCCTGTGGTCTCAATCTGCTAGATTTTATTTAGTTTATAGTATTCTGTAGATTTAAGTTATAACTTAAATCTATCTTGATCAGATTACATGACTTTTTGTGCTTTGATTTTGTCATCTAGTTTTGGAGGTAATATTGACACTGAATATTATTATATTCAGTATTACTGAACTCAAAATTATGAATATTAGCTGTTATTATATGAGAGCATATTTAAAACAGAGCAAGGCATATATTAAACAGTGTAAGTTTTATCTACTATCTAGAAATCAAAGAGGCCATGTGGGACTTGGAGGGAGTGTCCCAATGTCTGGCCAATGCCAATACAAAAACATAGGCAGGAATAAGATAAATAGCACAAATCAGTAAGCTACAGCCCTTTACTTGTGAATAAAGTTTTATTGGCAATAGCCATGCCCATTTATTTACATACTGTCTGTGGTGATTTCATGCTGTAAATGCTAGAGTTGCCTAGTTACAACAGGCTATGCCCAGTGATCCACAAAGCTGAAAATATTTACTCTCTGCTCCTTTACAGAGAAAATTTGCCAACTCCTATTGTAGAGAATATTTGCATTTGAAGAGCATATGGAATTTTTTTTTTACTTTAAATTTTAGAACAGTTATTCTTTGGAAACAACCTGATTGCTATTATTCCTCCTTGTTAGGAGCATTGCTGCTAGTGTCAAGTTGTATCCTAAGCCTGTTGCTGTGCCTGACTGCTGACTCTTTTTAATTTCTCTGCTCATTGAAACAGGTGTGGCAATAGCTCCGTGGACCCAGTCTCCATGAATAGACTGAGCTTTGTGAGGAACAGATGCAGGTGAAGTCTTAAGCGAAGAAAATCACAAGGGTAGCCGAGGATCTGTTTAGAGCACGGCCTTTCACCTAACTTTCTGTGGTCCTTCTTTAGCAGCCCTCATCCTCCTCCCACAACCTTCCCCTTTCAGTCACTTTTTCTCCTCAACTTCTAGAGCTTCCCTTACCTTGTTTTTTAAGGAGGTTTACTTACTGTTTTGTCTGCTTCCCTTGTGATGCATTGCCTTTCGTTGGTTAAGAGTATGGTGGTCATTTTGGGTGGAAAGGGTCTAAGCACTGTTTGTCCTGTTTTCTAAAAGCCAAGAACGTAAAGTTACTGTGAGTGAGCTTGCATTCTCCTGGGTGTGGTTTTTCTTCTGACTCTGTAACTCTTGTAGGAATGGCCTTGGCTCTGTGAAGGATGGGGAGCCGCACTTTGTGGTGGTCCACTGCACAGGCTATATCAAGGCCTGGCCCCCAGCAGGTAGGAAAGTGGGGTGGTGATTTCTGCCTTGGTGCATTTGGTTCCTCACAATGTCTAAGAAAGTTAGCCAATGTTTATATATGCCTAGTATATGAAATGTAGTTTGGTATAAGCTGAAAAACTAAAACAAAAAACAAAGTCCTTCCCATACATTGTTGAGCTTATACTTTGCTTGGGGAGATGAATTAATCAGATTTTAAAATGTCCCAGTTATTGGCTGTGTCACAGAGTTTGGTTTTTAAATGTGCAAATTCATAATTATGTATATTGAATGCCTATGTTCTAAGGACTGGTTGCAAAAAGTTAATCTGCAAATGTAGTTCATTTGAGGAATCTTTCTATACCAGATAGAAAGCTTTGAGGGAAGTGGGAGAAATGGTTTGACTTTGACAATTTACAAGGGCATAGTCTCTGCAAGGGCTTTAAATCAAGTTTTAAATCAGAGTTTCTACATTTTTGCAACTTTTTTACTTCCCTAATGGTTGGGTATTATTGAGAAGGGTTTGGGGTATTATTGAGAAGGGTTAGTTCTTAGACAAGAACTAAGAAAAAAGAGTCAAGGTTGTATATTTAGGAAGGAGGTCGATGTTTAGATTTATAAAACCTGGTTTTGATTCCTGGTATTGTTAATTCATGTTTATTAGTGATATAACCTAGTGTAAATTTGTTGACTAGAAAAAAAAGATTTGTTTATTTTTATTGGAAAGTAAGATTTACAGAGAGAAGGAGAGAGAAAGATAATCTTCCACTGGATCACTCCCCAACTGGTCGCAATGGCCACAGCTGAGTCAGTTGAAGCCAGGAACCAGGAGCTTCTTTCAGGTCTCCCTCAAGGATGCAGAGACCCAAGCTTTGGGCTATCCTTGACTGCTTTCCCTGGCCACAGGCAGGCAGGGAGCTGGAAGGGAAGTGGAGCAGCCAGGATATGGGATCCCATATGGGTGCATGCAAGGCAAGAACTTAAGCTAGTGCACCCAGCCCCAAGTTTGTTGACTTTTATAAACTTTTCTCATGTGTAATTGATAGATAATATATCCCATATAGGGTTATTACGAAGATTAGATTTAATGTAAGGAAAGCATCCAGCCTAGGGCCTGGCATATGGCCACCATCAATAAATACCAATACAAAAAACACCAATAAATGGGAAGTTAGTATAATTAAGGAAAAATAATTTTAAGTAATGAGGAAATGACATTTGTACTTTTTGATATTTGAACTGTATAAAATAGAGATTGAAGGTAGGAGTGCTTTTACATGTCTATGTAGCTTATCACGAAATACTTGCTTCTCTCAATAAAAATAACTGCAAAGAATACAAAAGATTTACATTTTTTTACATTCTGACATAAAACATTGTTTTTCTTTTTCAAGGAATATAAATAGCTGTTGGTGTTCTGTATAAATACATTTTTGGGTGTTTACTTTAATAGTCACCAATTGGACAGGACATCACTTCCCTGGTCACCGGGACCAGGGGGGCACAGGGGAAGCGGGGGCCTGACTTCCTGTGCATTTGGTTTCATCGTTTTAGTGTTTGGAACATGTTGGTTAGGATTTGTATTCTCTAATTTATTATAGTTAGTAAAATATATGAGTGTATGTATATATTGAAAACCATGGCTAACACATACAATACATTCTGTGCAATTGTAGCTTTGTTTTTAGTGTTCTCATTTATCATCCTCTTAGAGGCTGACATTTCTATTAAAATATTTGACCTTTTCTTGCTGAAGGTGTTTCCCTCCCAGATGATGACCCAGAGGCTGGCCAGGGGAGCAAGTTTTGCCTAGTGGCCATAGGCAGATTGCAGGCAAGTGTGAATTTTCTGTATTTACTTCTCTTTTTGATTAGAAAAAAAATCTGCAGGACTTGTTCATGTTAGTTTTCTTTACTCTCTGAATACAAGTGAAAAATTCTGTAAAACTTATAAAATCTTAGGAATATTACATTCAGAGTAAACATTGGTACTCTTCGGTGACCATAAGTTGGAGCATGAGAGAAAGGGGAAGATCTTTTTCCCTTACCTTTCTTGTGTTTAACTTTACAATGTTGAATTTTCTGTTTCCAATTAATTTCCTTTGCCTCTATGCAAAGAAAATATCTTTTTTGTTAAATTATTACATCACTGACAATGGACGAGTAGAATTAGTTTGATTCTTCTCATAAATATAGATGTGTCTTGGTTAGTTGGGCTTTAGTTTTCCTCTCTGGATAATGAGCATAGTCTACCCAGATAAAAGCACACTTTTTTTTAAGGTTTACATATATATTTCTTCCAAAGTAAAGAGTGACCAAGGGATAAAGAGAGAGAGTTTTTTTTTTTAAAGATTTATTTATTTTTATTACAAAGTCAGACATACAGAGAGGAAGATCTTCCATGTGATTGTTCACTCCCTAAGTGGCTCCAATGGCTAGAGCTGAGCCAATCTGAAGCCAGGAGTCAGGAGATTCTTTTGGGTCTCCCACACAGGTGCAGGGTCCCAAAGTTTTGGGCCATCCTCAACTACCTTACCAGGCCACAGGCAGGGAGCTGGATGGGAAGCTGGGCCGCTGGGATTAGCTGTGTTCAAGCCGAGGACTTTAACCGCTATGCTATTGGACCCGAGAGTTGTTTTCTTGTAAAACATAGTGACAGAAGGAGAAAGATCAATTCCTGTCCACTGGTGTACTCCTGAAATGCCTGCGGTAGCTGAGGCTGGGCGAGTCCAGTGCCAGCAGCCTGCAGCTCCATCTGGGTTTTCCATGTGAGTTCTGGGGAACCAAGCACCTGAGCCATCAACTGCTGTATCTTAAGCATTCCAGTGTGTGATACAGGCGTCCCAATAACAGCTTTTTGTTGTTTTAATGTTACTTATTTAAGAGACAGATCTCCTACTTGCCGGTTTATTCCCCCAAATTCCCATAATCACCCATATCTGGGCCTGAAGCTGGAAGCTGAGAGCTCGATCCAAGTCTCTTACATGAGTAGCAGAATTCCAGTCTCTTGGGCTGTTGCCTCCTCAGAGTCTCCTTAGAGTCTGAATTAACAAGGAGCCAGATTCAGGAGGGGTGACTGCATATCAAACCCAGCACTCTGATACAGAACATGGGCATGATAACTGCTAGTCCCAGTGCTTGCTTATACTAGTCGGTAGGTGTTCAGTTGAATCAATTTTTTCTTTACTTTATTAATTTGGATAAGCAGGCAATATGGGAGTCATGTTAGCTCTCATGACCTCTCTGAGCATGATGTCATTTTTTCCTTTGTGGGTAACAGTGTGGAAGTTGGGAAATTCCTAAAACTGAGGCTCTCTGTACTGTGACCCTGAATAGTTGGGAAGTATATGTACAAGGAATGGCATTGTTTTTGTAGGATCAACCTACATGTCAATCAAATGATGGTTGGAGAAAGAAATTGTGGGATATATACATGATGGAAGACTACTAAACCATAAAAAAAATGAAATCCTGTCTTTTGCAACAAAATGGATGCAGGTGGAAACCATTATGCTTATTGAAATAAATCAGTCCCTTAAAGACAAATATCGTGTTTTCCCTGATTTGTGGCAACTAATATAGAGAGAACGAAAAAAATTGAGTGAGATTGAAGTTTGAAATCTTATCAGTGTTTGTAGTCCTAGTCTAAACTCTTGAGGAACAGTGATTTTTTTTTTCTACTTCACTTCTTGTTCAATTACATTTTTTAGTGGAGCGTTAGATTATAAAGAAAACAAAGTGTGCTGTTATAAAAATTTAAAAAATAAATGGGAAAAGGTGAAGGAAGGTGGGTAAGGTGAAGCATATCATTATGTTCTTAAAACTGCATATGTGAGATATATGAAATTTGTTCCCTTTATAGACTATTAAAACATTTTTGGAGAATAAGATAACAAAAACTGATGTAATTTTACCTCATGGTGTAATTTCATGTCTTCACTTTCAGGTGACTAGTTCTCCCAACTGTACAGATATGAGTAATGTTTGCCAGCCGACAGAATTCATTTCACGACATAACATCGAGGGATTATTCACTTTCGTGGATCACCGCTGTGTGGCTACTGTTGGCTATCAGCCGCAGGTGAGGTGCTGGGGCCATCACCTCTCCAATACTTAGGCTTCTGTTTCCTCTTGCCTGTGTGGAGATTATATCATCATGTCATGCTAGTCAGCACAAACATAGCAGTCCCAGTGCAGAGAAGGAGATGATAAATACCTCAATTTATTCTTAGTTTCATACTAAGGAAATTGTTCCATCTAAAAAAAATATGACTTGTGAAACCAAATGAGAGAAGCAGGTACAAGTATGCATTTTTAAACTGATATTAGTAGAGATAATGATATATTTTAATTCATTATACTGGCATGGTCACTTTTTTATTTTTTAAATTTTTAAAATTTGTTTTTATTTTTTACTGCAAAGTTAAATTTACAGAAAGAGGTGAGACACAGAGAAAGATCTTCCATACACTGATTCACTCCCCAACTGGCCACACTGGCTGGAGCTGAGCTGATCTGAAGCAAAGAGCCAGGAGCTTCTCTGGGTCTCCCATGCAGATTCAGGGTCTCAAGACTTTGGGCCATCCTCTACTGTTTTCTCAGTCCATAACTAGGGAGCTAGAAGAGAAGTGGAACAGCCCGAACATGAACTGGCACCCATATGGGATCCTGGCGTGTGCAAGGCGAGGATTTAGCCATTAGGCTATTGTGCTGGGCCCTGGTGTGGTTACTTTTAGATAATTCATGTATATAGGCAAGTCAATAGTAACAAAATATACAGTACTAGCATATCTTATAATTTGTCATAATATGTCATAATTTACTCATCCAGCTAACAAATTAATTATCCCTGAATTGATTTTAAACTTTCAAAATTGTCAAGGCTAAAGAGACTTCTGGCAATGACTTTGTGTCAATTAGAAATTTTAAACACAAAAACAGTTGAATTTGCACTAATTCAACACATCCTATATAGCAGTTGTTACCAGTATGATGTTGTGGTAGCATAAAGGCAGATATCTAAATCAGTAGACCAATATTTATGGCCAGCTGATTTTCAGCAGAGATGCCAAGAGAAGGAGAGGGTGTAAAAGACAGAGAAGGGCTGGTGTTGCATCAGGCACAAGCCAGGAGTCATGAGTTTCTTCTGGTTCTCCCATTTGAGTGCGGGGGACCCAATACCTTGGACCATCCTCTGTTGCTTTTCCAGACACATTATCAGGAAACTAGTTCAGAAGTGGAATAGTTTGGACTCCATCCATGTGGAATGCCAGCATTGCAGCATTACAGTACCGGCTAAAAAAGTTTTAACAGATAATTTTAAAACAATTTGATATCTATCTACAAAAAAGTTTAAAAATAAACAAAAAAAACACAAACTTAGATCTTATCTTTCACCATACGCAAAAATCAGTTCAAAACCTAAATTTGTAGGAATTAAAATTATAAATAAATTTCTAGCAGAGTATCTGTGATTTGAGTTAGATAAAGATTTCTTTTTATGGTACTAATATGATTCACACAAAAAAAGATGATAAATTGGATTCTATAAATTAAAATTTGTCTTCTTGAAAGTAAAAAAAACAGACAAACTGGAAGAAAACATTTGCAAATCCTATATATATGAAAGGGTTTTTGTCTAAAATATGTAACTCTTATAGCACATAGGCATTAAAAAGTCACAGAATTTGACATTTCATTAAAACAGGATGTTGAATGACATATCAAGAAAAGTTCAACATCATTAGGCATCAGGAAAGTGCAGACTAAAATCACAGTGAGAACCATCTTGTACTCAATAGGATGGCTATAATCAGTAGTTTTGGCAAGACTGGAACCCTCAACAATCATTGACAGGCATAGACAGTGATAACAGCTGCTATGCAAAATCATTTTGGCAGTTTCATAAAAGGTAAAACATTTGCTTACCAGCCTAGCAATCTCACTCTTGGGTATCTCTGAAAGAGAAGTGAAAGCCTGCTCACAAAAAGTTGGTCAGAAATATTCAAGGCTATATTATGCCTGATAACCAAAAAGTAGATACTGTCTATATATCTAATTTTGTGAATGAACACACAAAGTGTGTAATATTCCTGTTAGGATGCTGTTGAGAGAAAAACCAGAATAAATTGCAGATGTGTGAGCTTCCAAAACATGCTAAATTAAAGAAGCCATTTCCAAAGGCTGCAGAATATATATATATGAAATTCCTAGGAAAGGAAAAAAGCTTGAGACAAAAATACATCAGTGATAAGTTGAGGAATTAATTTCATATGGAATCAAGGGAACTTTCTTAGACAGTGAACATGTTTTAAAACTAAATTTTGGTAATGATCATATTGTAAATTTACTAGAAGTTATCAAATTGTAGAATTCTGATGGGTGAATTGTGAATGTGAATCACACCTAAAGTTGGTCATAAGTGCCATAAAATGAAGAATATTCTGAAAAGGAAAATATTCTAGAAGCTACTTAGTTAGAAGATTCTATCTTTATATCATAGAGTCCCTCTTTTCCTCTTTTTTTCCTTCTTCACACTTCCCTTATAATCCTAGTTTAAGGACAGAAGTAGTACAGTCCATGACTTCAGCTAATAGAGCAAGGAAGTTAGATGCCCATACAAGTATGAATCTTATTTGTATTTATACCTTCTAGGAACTCCTAGGAAAGAATATTGTTGAATTCTGTCACCCTGAAGACCAGCAGCTTCTAAGAGACAGTTTCCAACAGGTAAATATTTTTTCATAGTTTGGGATTAAATAAATATTTGTATTTATGATATTCATGCTACAACTGTTTAGTGACCACATAATTCAGCACCATGGCAGGCACTACCATTTTATGCTTTAGCACTTAACTGGTGAAAAAGATTGATATTTTGAGACTTTGGATGATGTCCAAGGTATTTCTGTTTAGCTTTGGCTACCTGCTGCCTTGTGCTGAACTAACCATATACTAGGAGCTATTTTTAAAATATTCAAAATATTGTTTGTTTTGCTGAGCTGTAAATCACTGTAGGGAAAATTCATTTCACAGAGTTTGTCGGTACATAATTTGGAGTGTAATTTCCAGGCACTAGCTCCTGAAAATACCTGGTGACTTTAATAAATTTAACTTTAGATAATAGTTCTTTATATAGACAAGTTAATTAGCTTTTTTTTTAAGAGTCTTAGTATTATCCTGGCAGATACAGTAGGTATAATAATAGTACTTGTATTCACAAGACTGTTGGAAAGATTAAGATAATGAATATAAAGTGCATAGCCCAGTGGCTGGCACATAATAATTAGAATTAAATTAGCTGTTAATTTTCTTAATTGTTAGGGAGATCAAAAGATTATTTTCAGTTTTTGAGACGGGAAACTCAGGTTGATCTAAGATTGCTTACTTTTACAAAAACAAAAGAAAATGAGGCAGATTTATTCATGAAAACCTCTGAGAATACTGTAAAAGCAGAAATCCTCCCATTGGGAAAGAAGTCATCTAGTTTCATTAAAGTTAAATTTTGGGTTTGTCTAATCTTTAACCACTACGCTATTGCACCGGGCAGGTTTGTCTAATCTTTAATGGACTTTCTTTGACAAGTAGAGAAATGACCTTTCCCCTTCCCCCAATAATTATTGTTCTTGTTTGATTTTGACTGGAAAAATCAAGTAGTTTTGGACTCTTGGAGGAAACATGCTAAATATACTTCTTTCATATTTAGCGAATTAATTTTTTACAAGTTTTAACCTTGTAAAAGGATTGGTGCATCAAGGACGATTACACAAGTCTTATAAGTGTGGAAATGTTCATTTAACTTTATAAGAAAAGTTTTCTGTGAGTTCCATTGATGGTATGAAACCTTTTCAGGTGGTGAAGTTAAAAGGCCAGGTGCTATCTGTCATGTTCCGGTTCCGGTCTAAGAACCGAGAGTGGCTCTGGACAAGAACCAGTTCCTTTACTTTCCAGAACCCTTACTCAGATGAAATTGAGTACATCATCTGTACCAACACCAATGTGAAGTATGTACCGTGCAACTCTTGTTCAGTGTTGGGATTTCTCATGGGCCAAGTCTGCCTAACCTTGCCAAGCTGTTTCTTTTTCTGCTTTTCCATTAGTAAATGCATAGAGTTTGAAGTTCTTAAGGATTCAGATTCTCATGGGATTTGGGGTAGTTGAGCAAGGTATAATGAGATTTTCAACACACAATGCCCTGCACTGATTGATTTTGGGGCTCTTGGCTTGGTCCTGTCCAGCCTCTGCAGGCACTTGGGGAATGAACCAGCAGAGAGTAGATCTTTTTCTGTTTGCCTCTGAAAAAAAAAAATGTAAAAAAAAAATGCTGTGGACATTCCTGTGCTAGGTTTTGCACAGATGGACATTTTATTGTCTTCTGTTCTTTTACCCAGTAGTGAAATTTCTGGGTCAGATAGTAACTCTGTCTTGCTCTTGGAGGAACTGCCAGATGGTTTTCTAAAGCTGTCCCATCAGCACTGTGTAAGGTTTTGTTTTTCCTATACTCTTGTAACTCCTGAATGTTGTCTGTCTTTTTATCAGAGCCATCTTAGTGGGTGTCACTCATTAGATTACTTCCTTGCCATTTCATCTGCAGTAGAACGGTCTTGAATGTAGGTCTTAAATATCAGAGCATGAGTAAGTTAGCATGAGTGATTAGTGCTTGTTGATAGTGGTTGATCAGTGTTGGCCAGTTCAGTCTTGATAGTTTACCAGAGTTTAATTAACAGTAAAATACATGGGTTGAGTTGAATGTTTTTATTAATTTTAGGACTCAAATGTATGGGCACAGTCATGATAGATTTTGTGCTTGTCCCTTTTTGCATTTCTTTAAGGATTCATTATGTGAAAGACAGATTTACAGAGAAAGGGAGAGACAGAGAGAGATCCTCCATCTGCTGATTCATTCTCCAAATGGCTACAACGACCAGAACTGGGCCAATCTGCAGCAGGAGCCAGGAGCTTCTTCCTGGTCTCTAATGTGGGTGCATCCTCTGCTGCTTTCCCATGCAAGGGAAAGTGCACAAGGAGCTGGTTTGGAAGTGGAACAGCCAGGACACATACCAGTGCCCATATGGGATGCTGGTACTGCAGGCAGCAGCTTTATCCACTACACCATAGTGCTGGCTTCTCTTTTTGTGTTTTTAGACTACATAACAACCATCATTTTATATTTCCATTACTTTGAAATTTTCAAATTTTTCTAAGGATTCAAGTTTCTCAAAATAATGGCTTTTCCTGCTTTTATCCATAATTTTTCCAACTGTAATTTGTTTTAATTAGCTTTTAGTATTTTTAAACAAATATTCCTTATAGAAAATTCAGATGGTATTGAAAAATATTGAAAGAAAGAGAAGTTTATCATACTGTAGTTAGTTTTTCAGTTTTTTACCATGCTGTTTAAAAACCCTAAATGAATATATATGCACATTTACTACCAGCAGATATTGATTATCTAAGAGTTAAAACCCAAGATAATGAACCCTGTGCCTTTGGACAGAGTGTCTCATTGTACCATGTTGTCCACAGAATGAATTATTTGCTAAAACTGAGCTCGTGGGTTACCTGTAGTATTAAACTTTAAAGGAAAATTATTAGTGACTGCCCTACCCACAGATTAATCAGCGTAGCTTTTTGTGCAGATTTCTTTCTTTTTATCTTTGTTCTGTCTGATTTCTCCAGGAACTCAAGCCAGGAACCACGGCCTACACTATCTAACCCAATCCAGAGGCCCCAGCTAGGCCCTACAGCTGGTTTACCCGTGGAAGTTGGCTCAGGGCAGCTGGCCCCCAGGTAAGACAAGGTGGAGGAATCTCAACTGAACTTGAACTGTGGTTATGCCCCATGGGGGGAGGGTTGTGGGAGGAGTGGGGGAAATCCAAGCACCTATAAAACTGTATCACATAATACAATGTTATTAACAATAAAAAAATAAATAAATAAAATAAAAATAAAAATGCATGATAGAAAAAAAAAAGACAAGGTGGAGGAATCATCTATTGAGTCATCTCTAGCTTAGGGAATAGCCATCTACAACCCCATTTTTTGTTGTTGTTAGATTTATTTTTTAAGATTGTCTCCTCACTCAAACTGGTCTTTAACAAATAGGCAGCAGCAACAGCAAGCAGAACTGGACATGGTCCCAGGCAGAGATGGACTGACTAGCTACAATCATTCCCAGGCAAGTTTGTATTTTCTTCCTTAAAGCTATAATGAACTGTTCCTTAGTAATTTCCCCTAGTAGCAGAGAATGTGTGTATGTTATATAAATTTGGGGGTTATTGGCTTGTATGTTAAACCTTTAATGGTCCTTTTTGTTGTTGTGTTCCACAGATTTCTGTTCAGCCTGTTACAACCACAGGGCCAGAACACAGCAAGCCCCTTGAGAAGTCAGATAGTCTGTTTGCCCAAGATAGAGACCCTCGATATTCAGAAATCTATTCCAACATCACCGCAGGTATATTTCTTCCTTTTAAGCTCTCATTCAGATCACTTGCTGATAGGCCTGCTTCTGCCCAGTCAGTAACCTTTCTACTCAATCATGACACCTCATGAATGAGTAGGAACTTGCTGAACTGATGCACTACACCTCCTTGACTGGTCCTCCCCCAACTCCTTTTGGTCCACAGATCAGAGTAAAGCCATCTCTTCCAACACTGTCCCTGCCAGCCAACAGCTATTCTCCCAGGGCAACACATTCCCTCCTAACCCCCGGCCGGCAGAGAATTTCAGGTGAGCCCATGTTTGTGTGCTACTTGACAGAGCCTGGGCGTATTCACTGACTGAATCCAAGTCTGCTTCTTCCCTTGCTTTCTCTGGTTATTTTAGGCAAAGCAGTGGAACTTGTAGGATCTCCTGTTTCTTTGCACCTCTTGTATTTCCATGTTTTTGTTCCATCTGTGTGTGTCCTGGTCAGTGTGTTTGTTGGTTTTTCTTGTCTTTTCTGAATTCTGTTATCGAGTTTTTCTTAACCCCCAGGCAGTGGAGGGGATCTGGGAATGGCATGAAGTCCTTTGCTTCCTAGCCTCTATGATGAATCCAGTTTAATGCTCTACTTTGCTATTTGTTCACTCCTAGGAATAGTGGTCTCGCTCCTCCTGTAACCATTGTCCAGCCATCGGCCTCGGCGGGGCAGATGTTGGCCCAGATTTCCCGTCACTCCAACCCCACCCAGGGAACAGCCTCAAATTGGACTCCTAGCACTCGCCCAGGCTTCTCTGCCCAGGTACAGCTCCCTAGCTGCGTGTCCTCTTTGTGTTATTTTTGTTTGGTTCCTTGTTTCTTTTTTTAAGATTTATTTTTTTCTTTAATTGGAAAGGCAAATTTTACAGAGAGAGGGAGAGACAGAAAGATCTTCCCTTTGCTGGTTCATTTGCCAAGTGGCCGCAATGACCTGAGCTGAGCTGATCTGAAGCCAGGAGCCAGGAGCTCTTCCAGGTCTCCTACGCAGGTGCAGTGTCCCAAAGGCTTTGGGCTGTCCTCAACTGCTCTCCCAGGCCACAAGCAGGGAGCTGGATGGGAAGTGGAGCTGCTGGAATATAAACCAGTGCTCATATGGGATCCTGGTGCATGCAAGGCAAGGTCTTTAGCCACTAGGCTATTGTGCCGGGCCCACAGTGTATTTTTTAATTATTCGTTTATTGGAGCCAGTGTTGTTTTGCAGCAAGTTAAAATGCTTCCTAACATTTTATGTGGGTGTTGGTTTGCTTCCTGCTGCTCCACTTATAATCCAGCTCTCTACTAATATGCTTTGGAGGGCAACGAAAGATGGCCCATGTATTTGGGTCCCTGCTCCCCATGCAGGAGACCTTGAGGAAGCTCCTGGTTTCAGCACGGCTCAGCTCCAGCTGTTGTGGTCATTTAGAGAGTGGATCAGCAGATCTGCTGTAATTCTGTATTCACTCTATTCTCTGTAACTCTGCCTTTCAAAAAGATACTACTAAAGATATCTTAAATAAAAAGCCAAAACTAAATATAGGCTACAGAATTGTTACACAATAAGGTTTATTTTATTTAATTTGAAAGGCAAAGTTACAGAAAAGCAGGGAAAAAGAAACATCTTCCATCTGCTGATTCACTTCCCAAATGTCTGCATTGGCTGGCACTGAGCTGATTATAAACAAGGAACCAGAAGCTTTTTCTGGGTCCCCCATCATTGGTACAAGGGCCCTGAGACTTTAGCCATCCACTGCTTTTCCAGGCCATAAGCAGGGAGCTGGATCAAAAGTGTAGTAGTCTGGATATGAACTAGTACCCATATGAGATGCCAGCATAGCAGGCGGAGGCTTAGCCTGTTATACTATGACCTTGGCTCATGCAGTATGGTCTTTATTATGTAAAAAACATACATAGGGTGACTATGCATTTTTCCATTAGCTATGATGAACTTTGGTGTTGAGACCAATAAATGCTACTATATTGCTTTGACAGATCTCAAATACATGAAGTCTCTTGGCCAATGTCTTTGATTTCATATTGTGACAGCATTTGTTGTTTCTTTGGCAGTTGTAGCTCTCTTTAGAAGTTTATTGTGGCAAAATTAAGAAGGCAGAGACAGATTCCTACAGAAATTTCAGTGAAAGATTTTGAGGAGGTAAAGAAGGCTGGTGTCTTTCACAGTGTAAAGTGGTTTTGGAATAAAGAATTTCTTTGTTTGGTTTCATAGATGCTTCTCATTAATCTATGTCTTTGAACCAGAAAATGTGAATCTGTGGGTTAAGGAATAATTTTTCTTTTAAAAATATGTATTTATTTAAAAGCTACACAGACAGATCTTTGGTCTGCTGGTTATTTCCCAAAATCACTGCAGAAGCCAGGTGTGGGCCAGGCTGAAATCAGGAGTTGGGAACTCCACCCTGGTCTCCCATGTGGATGACAGGGGTCCAAGCACTTGGGCCATCTTTTGCTGCCTTCCCAGGTACATTAGCAGGGAGCTGCACTGGAAGCAGAGTATATAGGACTCAAACCAGCATTCAAATATGGGATGCTGCCATTGTAAGCAATGTAGAATTATCACATTGTCAGCCCCCAAAAATCCATCAGAAAATGAGAGCTGGAAGAGATTATGCAAGTATGCTAACTAACCATGCATCTTTGGTGATAGAATTATGAATAACTCTTGTTTTCTTTTGAATTTGCCTTTTCCTAAACATTCCACAATGTTCATGCATTGCAATTATGGTGAGAAAAATTTACCTTTATTTATTTTTTGTAAAAATGCTAGAAACAGATGAATACAGAATAAAGTGAATCATAAAAAGATTCATAATGTGTTTCTTTACATACAATACAAGGAAACTTCAAAAAGTTGGTGGAGAATATAATTTAAAATAAGCATTTTTAGGCCTGTCACGCTTGCCTTGTGGCTAAAGTTCTCGCCTTGCATGCTCTGGGATCCCAAATGAATACCAGTTCGTATCCTGGTTGCTCCACTTCCCATCCAGCTCCCATTTGTGGCCTGAGAAAGCAGTAGAGTATGGCCCAAGGCCTTGGGACCCTGTGGCTGCTTGGGAGACCCAGAAGAAGCTGCTGGCTCCTCATTTTGGACCAGCTCAGCTCTGGGTGTTGCAGCCACTTGGGGAGTGAACCAGCTAATTTCCCTCCCAGGTCTCTCACTCCCGGATTATGCACTTTCCAGGTGGTTCTGCAGTTTAACTTGACAGAATTAGCCCCCAGTGCCAGCTTCTGCCAGTTGATGCTGTGGCTAAGCCCAAACAACCTTCACCCACTCTAATTTTGTTTGCACCAGTAGGAATAATCAGCCCAGCCTGGCTTTTCCCTGATCTAGTCCACATGAGGCGCACAGGTGTTGTAGCCCTGCCTAGTCTGGTCTGCCCCCATCCCAGCTCATGCTCTCCAGTGGGAGTAGCTGTCCAGCAGGGGAACCACCCTCATATTCCCCTGCTGGCTCTGCCCCCTCCCTTCCTGGTTCTCACATGCACTGGATGGGCACTGCAGTCATATCCGGTACAGACAACCTCACCTTGGCATTCTGTATTGTGGACTGGTTTTTATCGCAACCGAACCTGGCTCGACCCACACACTGTTCTGGTACTTGGATTTGCCAGTGGATGACGTGAACTGATTCAGCCTGGTCTGCCCCTGATCCATGCCAAATGCATGCCAGTGGGAAACTTCTCGTGGCCTACTCTGGACTATTTCCATTCATGCTTCTTGCGCTTACCTGCAGGGTCTGTGTCCTGCCAGAGGAGTTGCTCAGGCTCCTCCATCAGAACCTCTCCCAGTGCCAGATTTTGTGCATACCAGTGGGTCCATGAGCCAGCCCTACTCAGTTCACCTCCTGTCTTAGCAGGAACAGTGGGGCTAGAATTTCCACAGGGCTTGGCCCACACAGCCCCCACAGAATCTACCCCTGGATATGGCTCTCAAGTGCTAGTTAATGTAATGGCCCTGACCAAAGTGACCATTCTCCTGATCCATCATCATGTCAGGTAACAGAATATGATTCTGCTGGACAAGCCCCGCGCCATAGCTTTTGCATGGACTGGTATTTGGTGGTCAGCATTGCTAAGTGATAACACGTTCTTCAAAGGAAGAGTAACTGTCATTGGGAATCTTTAGGATATATTCACCTCCCAGAAATACAGTGGGTTCAACATGGAGCTACATAAGCAGCAATTCAAACCACCAAAATCCCAGAGCTCCCCTGCCGGGCTGTCAGTGTACTCACCTCAAAGGGAGCAGCCCTGGAGCCTAGGCAGGCCCGGGCCCAGCTCACCACGTGCACATGCATGTGGTGGCTGGCCTGTGGGATCCAGGCATGAGACGCCCCGTCCCAGGACCCACCCGCAGCCGAGAGGCCTCAGGAAGTTTATCCCAGGCCCAAAGTCGCGCCCCACCCCAATCCCATCTGCCGCCCAATGAGAGCCGCAGGTGGGCCTGCCTAGCCCCACTCCGGAGACCTCCCCCCTTGGTCAGTGTACTCACCCCAAAGGGAGCAGCCCTGGAGCCCATGCATATGACAGTTTTCAAAAACTTCATAAAAATGCATATTACCAGAAAACTATGGATGAATTAGTCAGTATTATTATACAGCACATTAATCTGCTGCTTACAATTCATATGTCTTACAAGTAGTGGTTTGAGTTCCAGCTATTTTACTTCAGATCTAGCTCCCCTCTAATGGCCTGGGAAAGCAGTAGAAGATAACCCAGGTGCTTGGGTCCCTGCACTAATGTGGCAGACCTGAATGAGGCTCCTGACTTCTGGCTTTAGCTTGACCTAGTTCTGGCGTTTGTGGACACATACGGAACTAGTTGATGGAAGCTTTCTCTGTCTTTTTTTCCTTTCTCTTTCTCTCTCTCTGTAGTTTTGCCTTTTAAATAAATAAAGCTTTTTCCATATATCCATCAAATGAGTTTATTCATTCTCTCTCTTCTATTTCCTTCTCTTTCCCTCCCTCCTTTCCTCCCTTCTTTCTTCCCTTCCTTCCTCTTTCTCTTCCTCTCATCATTCTTTATTAAAGATTACTTTTATTTATTTGAAAGAGCAGCTGAGAGAGTGCTTCCATCTGCTCGTCCACTCCCTAGATGGCTATAATGGTCAGGGCTAGGCCAGGTAGACACCACAAACCAGGAGCTTCCTTTGGGTCTCCCATGTGAGTGGTACGTACTCAAACATTTGAACTATCTTCTGGAGATTTTCCCAGGCCATCATGCAGGGAGCTGGATTGGAAGTAGAGAAGCTGGAACACAAACTGGAGTCCATGTGGGATGCTGGTCAGTGGTTTTATTCACTACACCACAGTGCCACTCGTGTAAATCTTTGCAAAAAGTCTCACTGTGGATGAAGTGTTTGCACTGAAATATAACCATCTTTGAATTTCATTTGCAGTGAGCCTTCTGAAGTATCCTTCTATTATTAATGTTTCTTTAGTTCTATGTAATTTTGCAATTTACTAAAAATATTTTCACTTAGTTCTTACAACTGTTTATGTATTTGTTTATTGGAGAGCTGAGATGGAAAGCATTTGCATCTACTGACTGACTCTCCAGTTGCTTAGAACTGTAAGGGCTGGGCTGGGCTGGGCTGACACAAGGGGCTGGGGATGCATTCCAGTTCTCCCAAGTAGTTGGCAGTGACTCAGTTACCTGAACCATCTCTGTTGCCTTTGTTGCTTCTGTTGCATTAACAGGAAGGTACAGTCAGGAGCTGGAGCCTGGGATTGAACCCATGTATTCCAGTATGCAACAGGGTCATGCCAACTGGTGGCTTAACAGCTATGCCTTTTGCCTGCCCCTCTCACAATTTCCTTTTATTAGTCTCATAGTTCTTTGCTTTTTGTATTTTTATCTCCACTACCTAAAATAATACTGGTGAGACTTGGAGTTAGAAGAAATATGTTCAGTGGAATGCAGTTTTTTTTAAGATTTATTTTTTGTTGTTGTTGGAAAGTCAGATTTTGCAGACAGAAGGATGTATATAGAGAAAGATTTCCTTACTGCTGGTTTACTCTCCAAATGGCTGCAACAGCTGGAGCTGAGTTGATCTGAAACCAGGAGCATGGAGCTTCTTTGGGTCTCCCACATGGGTGCAGGGACCCAAAGTCTTGGGCTATCCTCTGTTGCTTTCTCAGGCCACAAGCAGGGAGCTGGATAGGAAGTAGGATATGAACTGGCACCCATTTGGGATCCCAGGAGTTGCAAGGCGAGGATTTAGCCACTAGGCTCTTGTACCAGGACCTGGAATACAGTTTTGTGTTGTTTTGTTTTGTTTTTAAAGTCAGATATGTAGAGAGAAGGAGAGACAGAGAGGAAGATCTTCCGTCCAATGATTCACTCCCCAAGTGAGCACAAAGGCCGATGCTATGCTGATCCGAAGCCAAGATCCAGGAACTTCTTTCGGGTATCCCACACGGGTGCAGGGACCCAAAGCTTTGGGCCGTCCTGGACTGTTTTCCCAGGTCACAAGCAGGGAGCTGGATGGGAAGTAGAGCTGCTGGGATTAGAACCGGGGCCCATATGGGATCCTGGTGCATTCAAGGCGAGGACTTTAGCTGCTAGGCCCGCAGCCGGGCCTGGAATACAGTTTTGACAGTGTTCATTCTCTGAATGCTATATGCAATAATGATAACAATCCATTTGTTGTCTTTCCCTTTCTGTCTTCAGCAGGTGGCTTCCCAGGCTGCAACCAAGACTCGTTCTACCCAGTTTGGTGTGGGTAACTTTCAGTCTCCATCCTCCTTCAACTCCATGTCCCTATCTAGTGCTTCCACTGCATCATCTGGTGCTGCTGCCTACCCCAGTCTGACCAGTCGTGGATCCAACTTTGGTTAGTTGATACCAGGAATACCGTACCAATAAAGAGAAAAGATTTGGTAGTTAGAGTTCGTCATTTCTGTCTTTGGTTCTCTAATGTAATGGTAGGGAGATGCAAGATAAGCAATCCATGTGTAATTTAAAACCTACCCACAGGCCAGTGTTGTGGTGCCTTGGGTTAAGCCACTGATCACAATGCCAGCATCCCATATTAGGGTGCTGGTTTGAGTCTCTGCTGCTTTGCTTCCAATCTGGCTTCCTGATGCCCATATGGAAGACCCAGCTGGAGTTCCAGACTTCTGATTTCAGCCTGGCCCAGCCCTGACCGTTTGCAGCAATTTTGGAAGTAAACCAGAAGATTCAACATCTCTTTTCTCCCTATCTTTGTCCTTGTTTCTCTCACTCTCCCTTCCGAATAGACAAGTCTTTAATAAATAAATGAATAAAATAAAACCCACATAAAAAACAACCTTAGCATATATAACAAAGAGCACATAAAATATGAAATTTGGGCCCAGTGTTAGCCTAGTGCCTAAATCCTCACCTTGCATGTTCTGAGATCCCATATGGACGCTGGTTTGTGTCCTAGCTGCTCTACCTCTCATCCAGTTCCCTGCTTGTACCCTAGGAAAGCAGTAGAGGATGGCCCAAAGCTTTGAGAACCTATGCTCACATAGGAGCTCCTGGCTCCTGGCTTTGGATGGGCTCAGGTCTGTGGCCATGTGAGGAGTGAACCAGGGGATGAAAGATCTGTCTGTCTCTCCTCCTTTCTCTCTGACTTTTCAATAAAAAAAATCTTTTAAAAAAAGTGTGGTTAGTAGTATGCCAATTTAATCAAAAGAAAGAGATGAGTCTGCAAAGGCTACTAGCTAAGAAAGAAAAAATCATTTGGGGCTAGGTTTTAAAACAGAAGAGGCATGAAGTGTCTGTTGGGAAGGACAGAGGTATCCTAGATAAAATAAATGGCTTTCATTTAGGTATAAGTCAGTTTCTCCTCTCCAGTGGAACTAATAAATTGATGATACATACTGTGTTTCTAGCTCCAGAGACTGGACAGCCTGCAGGCCAGTTCCCGACTCGGACAGCAGAGGGTGTAGGTGTCTGGCCCCAGTGGCAGGGCCAGCAGCCTCATCATCGGTCAAGTTCTGGCGAGCAGCATGTTCAGCAGCCATCAGCACAGCAAACTAGCCAGCCTGAGGTCTTCCAGGTGAGAAGTGAGAAGACTTCAGGAAATCAGAAGCTAGGAGAGGAAGGGGTCAAAGAAAGGAGACAAGGAAACTTACCTAGACTGAGGTGGTTGGTTGGAATTAGGTGGGATGTGTAGGGAGAAATGTCAGGAATTGGAAATATTGTGAACTTAGTACAAGTCACAGCTTTAACCAACCAGCCAGAGTGAGATGTGAAGTGGTATTTGAAGATGCCAGAAAAGGTTATTTTGGTTCATTTTTGTTGATCCACATCTTGACTACACAATAGTTTTGGGATTAGAATATATTGAGGGTATTTCAGAAGGCTTATGGAAAAAAAGAAACTTGAAGTTTATTTTGGTGTTAAATTTTTTTTGAAATCCATGCATTTAAGAGGTCCTCAAAACATTTGTGAAGGGCCCGGAACTGGGTGTTACATGTTAAGTCACCACTTGCAATGCTGGTATTCCCATATGGTGCCAATTCAAAGCCAGCTCTCTACTTCCCATGTGACTCTCTGCTAATGTGTCTAAGAAAACAACGGAAGATATCCCAAGGCCTGGGGACCCTGCATTTGTGTGGAAGACATCCCTACACACATATAGAAGAAGCTGCTGTAGGCAGCCATTTGGAGAATGAACCAGCAGATGTAAGATCTCTCTCTGCTTCTGTCTCTGTAACTCTGTCTTTTAAATTTTTACAGAAAAGTTTGTGAAAAATGTGCTTTAAGAAAAAAAGTAGCATGTGGATTTCAAAAATGTTTGCACTAAAATAAATTTTAAATTCCATTCTTTCCCCATAAATTTTTTGAAGGCTTCCTCTTCCCCCTTCCCTGTATCCATCTATCTATCCTGAAGGGACTGCAAGAGTAAATGGTGTAGTCTGTGACAAGACAGGGGAAGAACTAGCCTACAGCACAAGTTGGAAGAAGGAAGTAGCCATTGGTGGAAACATAGGCTAAGGAATATCCCACACAAAGGATCTCCAAAAAAATTCAGGGAAAATGTATTATGGAAAATCTATATTTAAAAAAAAAGAGCAGAACTTTGGAGCTGTAGGATGACAACAGCAAGGGGAATGGGGAGAAAGGTTGTGATCTAAAGGAGTGACATGCTGTGAGGAAGCAGGAACAGAGAGCCTCGCACCCTGGAGGCTGTGAGGTCGGTGTGGTGATGCAGGGGATGTTGGGTAGGAGCTTGGTAAGCGTAGGTAATTGAGGTGGATGACCTAAGTTTAATCTTTTCCTCTTACTAGGAGATGCTTTCTATGCTTGGAGACCAGAGCAACAGCTACAACAATGAAGAATTTCCTGACCTAACTATGTTTCCTTCGTTTTCAGAATAGAACTGTTGGGGTGAGGATAAGGGGTGGGGGAGAAAAAAATTACTTTGTTTTGAAAAAGCAAATCTTTCTGTAAACAGAATAAAAAGTCCTCTCCCTTCCCTTCCCTCACCCCTGACATGTAGCCCCTTTTCCTTTGAGACTCTCCCCTGCCCTCCTGCCTCTGCAACCTAACATTTTTTGAAGGAATGGAATGGGTTTCCAAGGATGTTAGGGCCCTTTGAACATTTGAGGCTAGATGAGAATAGAATGCCTGTCTGTATTTCTCCTGGCTAGACGTTGTACGCTTTCAATCTGAGGTAGTGTCAAGGGGCTGGCCAGAAGAACCAGAGCTCCGCTATTTTCCTTGGATACTGTGGTTTGCTTTTGGAAAGAAATTCTAAATGGAATGAAGGAAAGGAGAGAAAAATAGTCCTCATATTTGAGGATCACAAAACATGGTAGGTATGTATGAGGCTTTAGGAAGTGAGCATAGGCTCTTTATGTTGCCTGTGAGCAATTCCCTTGGGGAAAAAAAAAACATGTGAGTGAGAGAGAGAGAGAGAGAGAGAGAGAGTGTGTGTGTGTGTTTTTCTGTGCTTGTTTCTCCCTATTAGGGAGTTATGCAAAAACTTATCCGAAATTTTATCTTTATCTTTCTGTGTGCTTTTCAAAGAGTCCTAAGAAGTTAAATCTTCCAGGTATTTTCCACTTAGTATTGCAGCCAGAGTATTTAAATAAATGTCCTTGCTGCACTGTGTCTATGCCCAGCTGATATGCAACTTCAGGCAAATACATCAAGTCTTCTGTTGTTATGGTTGGTCTCTTATCAAACATATTCAGTGATAAAGCTAGATTACTCCCATATTTGGTGCTCTCAGCTTTTTTGGAAGATCTACAATCATAATCAAAGTAGGCTGGCAAGATAAACACTTTCAGAACCCCCGGACTTGGCCATAAGGATAATAATGCTGCATTTTTTTCAGAATCACACCTTATGTATGTATGTGTGTGTTATATAGAGGTTATTTCTGCATGGAAACTCAACTTCTTGGATTTAGCAGATCTAGTGAAAATCTTCATTGTTGGAGTATAAGCCAAATACAGATTCTCTTGCAATGTAGCCTCTTTGATCATCTTAACTTCAAGATACCCAGGCTATCAAGAAGCATTTGGGTCTCTCCTGGGCTGGTAGTTCTTTTCTCTTTGTTCCTCCTCCAGTCTGGAGATTGGATTTTGCTTTAGATTGCAAGTATAATTTCCTATGATGGATGGGGCCTGGACTCCCATCCCAACAGGGTTACTTGGTAATGAACTATAGCCAAATAAACGCAGATACAAGTTTCTGCTCTCACCTTTTACCTTCCTCAGGTTAGTTCTATATGTCAGCCATTTTGTTTTAATTGGCTCCGGCCAATATCTAAGTGCAAGGCTGAATTAATAAGCAGAAGGCATATTAAACCTAGTCATCAGGGACTGCAGATCACCAATGGCCTTGGAGAGACTGAGGGAATGTCGTTTGCTGGGTTTCCCTCCCTTTTGTCTCCGTTCCAGTGCCAGGTAGTGAAGTGGAAAGGAGACAGTTTATTTTTGTATTCTTTGTGCACACATACAGTATACATATATATTTATATCACAGTTTATGAAACCAAAAAGTTGAGTTTCCAATGGAATCCTTGTTTTTTTAATAATCAACTGTTTTTAAATGTGATCAGGACTATAATATTGTACAGTTATTATAGGGTTTGGGGGAGCGGGGAGGGTGGGAGAAGATGCTCTGGGGGGTTTGTTTCTGCCTTTCCTTCAGGGTTTTATTTTTGATTTTTTTTTTTTTCTTGTTGGCCATTTCTGTTTTGCTGGCATCTGTGCTGAGCCTTACAGTGGCAAAAATAATGACATGTAGCAAAGATTTTAAAACAAAATATTTTTTCCTTTTGTAAAATTTGTGTTGTGTGAACTTGATTGCGACTCTTCCTTTCCAGTTCTTACAAAGCATTCACAAGTAGAGGAAACCATAGGTTGATCTCCAAACAGGCATAAACCACATTTGTGATTTTTAATTGTAGGAATCAGAAATCAGAGTTCTAATCACTCCCCCTCACTTGTCCTCCTGATCCTGACGCATTCTGAGTAAACATCCTGATCACAAGGTTGCGGGTGGGGGCTGCCCAAGTTCACGAAGGGGGAGGGTAGAGTTGGAACTTGAAGGCCCTGGGATACATGATGGATGCCTTTCCTTGCTTAAATCCTGTTCTGGAGTTAAAGATGGGAAAGTTTGTCCAGTCCTAGAACTGGTTTTCCTTTAAGGACCAAATGGTTATTAGCGACTGAAGGTCCAGAGATCTAATCCTGTCTTCTTTAAGGCTCTGCGAGTTGAATCCAGTTAGAAACTGAAACCCAAATCCCAGATATAATTAGCTTTCTATCCCAGTGACCTTCTTTCCCTCTTTCTGCATATCTGTTTATGGAGGAAAAGGGAGTGTAGGGATGTGATTTGATGACTGAACAGATTCTTATGATCTGTCACATGCTGTATGTTAGGAAATTATTTGGAGACACTCATGTGACTGGACGTAGACGGGGGATTTTAACAGTTGAGGCATAATGCTCATCAGGCATCCCGACATCTGAGCGTGTTAGCAGCAGAGTCACATGTGGATCCATCAGAACCCAGGGCTCTGACTGCAGTGCTGGCACAAGCCAGGAATGTTGGTTTTGATTACTTTTAGGACCAGTTTCATCTGGACTTTCTGGGCATGCACGCAGTCAGCAATACCAGTTCCCTTTCTGGAAGTGATGACAAATTTACAGCAGCTTCACAAACTATAATTTTAGAAGCTATGATTTCCTTTATATTACTCTTTTTTAGCCTTTTGTGTTTAATTCCTTTATCCCAGAGGTGAGAGAATCAAATGTTATGGAGGTGGATCATAACAGGAAAAGAGTAGGAAAAGATTGTAACCCCTCAATATTATAATGAAGGATATTAAAGAAGAAGGATGGGAGAGAACAAGAGTGCGTCCTTCAGTGTTCTTAAGTCCTTCCATTTCTCTGTCACACATGAAGGTAAGTTCCAACTCGCTAATGTGTGTTGTGGTCTTTTTTGTTCCTCTAAAGACAGTCATGTGAAACCAAATACTCTCCAACCTGACACATAAAGCTGCACACACACACAGGCACTGCGCAAACCCACTGCCTCCTTCCTTCCTGACACTCCTCAGCGCTCCTATCCCCGCCTCTCGACCTTATCCAAATTTTCCAGCCAACTGCTGGAACTGACTTCCGCAATCTTGATGGAATAAATCTAGCACCCCAGTCATCCGCCCACATTCAGCACACTCCTAGCTGAAAGGAGCCACATTGATTTCCTTCAGAAGGTAAGATTTTTCAACTTCCTCAATGATTTAGCTCCTTTGTCTTGCTAATTCTTGATTTTGGGAGTATTAAAAAATTTAATGCTGGGGAATTGGAGTAAGTGTTGTAGGCTGTGCAGGTGAAAACAGATGCCTTTATCTTCCTGTCTTCCTCTGCGTATATCTGACTTTTCAATAACAGTAAATAAATCTGGAAAAAAAAAAAGATTTATGAAACAAATGCCTTTCTTGGATTATTTCCTAGCCAGATGTGCCTAGAATCTTAAGATTTTGTGTGATTTTGTCTACATGAGCATGATTGAAAGTACAGAGTCCTTTGCCTGCCCTCAGTAGTAGCACCTCCGGCAGTTTTCTGCTTTTGCCCGACGGAGTAAGAGAGTTGGTTCAGGAGGTGGGGGAGAGGAGGAGTGTCTGGGGTGCTAACTTGTGCTCGCCACTCAGAAATCTCCCAAGTTCTGCCATTATCCTGCAAAGTCTGCAAAGATTACGTAAAAAGAACTATAAATTCAGAATTGGGCAAGTCCTGGGACTTGCTGCTGACTGCACCCTGTTAAAATGGAAGACTTACAATGAAGCAGTCCAGGGCAAGAAATGAGTCAACTTCTGAGAAGCTGTGAATTTATTCATGGAGCATTGCTTTTCACTCGACAGACTCAACAAACCTTGATTCAGACATCTTATAGGAGGCAGCCACAGAGGGCTTCTTTTTTTTATTTTTTCTTCTTCTTCTTCTTCTTTTTTTTGTCATTGCTGGAAAAAGAAACAAAACTTCTCTACCCGCAGCATCTGGTTGAAATTAGGACAGTTTCCTGCCTAAGGCAGGCGGAGACGAGAAAGGAGGAAGAAGAGAAGTTAGAGTGAGGAGACAGTGAAGACAGATAATGGGAAATACAAGGGACTTTAAAAAGTTCAAGGAGACATGGAATTAAAATGTCTATTTTAATGTAACTGAAGGACCACACATGATTTATTTCACCATTCATGTTTTTGGGAACTTGGTGAAAATTTCTTGTACGGTTCATTTTACCTCTCCTGGCAAGGGCTAGAAAAAAATATCAGAATTAAGCAAAAAGGAAAAGAATGCCTTGAAGAATTAATCAGGAAGCAAAACAGCTGGAAGTGTCTCCTTTGCGTGTTCTCTAACCCCACCCCCCACCTTGTCCATGCCCACGCCTGCCAAGGACCCTAGAGGACACAGGTGATTATTGCAGATTGTGCAAATGTGTGTCTGAGTGCTGGTTGCACTTACCCATCGTCAAAATACTTGGAACCCACTGTGCCAATATTCCAAACAGGGCTAGTGCTTTCCTGTTACTGTTTGTTCTCACAAGTGAAATTCACCCTCCATTTGCTGCTTTTCTCCCAAAGCCAAGTGTCCCTCTGCTTCATGGTGCAGAGGAAAGGGTTCTTTGGGTTCACATATCCTCCAAAACTACTGTGTGGTGCATGGATTTTCCTTTTAAGGGAGATGAATATAAGTTTCTCAAAGAAGGCTGTGACTCATGAAAGGCTAAGAGTCACTTTTCTGGAAATACTGCCTCAGATGTTTCCTGATCCTTAGCAAGGTCGTGCAATCCAAGACTCTCTCCTAATTCTCCCCTTTTCAGGATGTGGGGTCTCAGGATTCTGCTGCTACCCCTTGTGAGTTTTGCTCTACATCCTGAGGAGCTACTGGATACGCAGTGGGAGCTATGGAAGAAGACCCACAGCAAACAGTATAACAGCAAGGTGCCTGGGGACCCAAAGGGAAGCATGACAGGATGGCTGGGGCCTGAGATCCCAAGTCTTAGCTTCCAAACTCCCTTCTCTAAGACGAAGAAAGTACTTCAGCTAAGCAAACCCACCCCTGTTCCCTATCAGCGTAACGTAGGGTTTTCATTGCTGTGCCTCAGCTAACCACTAGCCAGGCCCTGTTCTTCCTTGGCTTGTTAGCTGTCCTGTATTTCTCTTTGAGGAAGGCTTCTCAAGAGTGCTTTTAATGTATAGGCAATTTTTCTGTGTCTTCCCAGATCTTTATGTTGAACTATTTGTGTCTCTCTGCATGATTTTAATAATCCAAAGTTAGCTTTCCAACTTGATTGTAAAATCTTTATAATTCTGAGTTTTATGTCTAAAAGCCTCCATAGTAGTATTATATACATCATTTTGCACACAGTCTGTGCAAGTACTAACTATACTCTGTTTAGGCGGATGAAATCTCTCGACGCTTAATTTGGGAAAAAAACCTAAAGCATATTTCCATCCATAACCTTGAAGCCTCTCTGGGTATGCATACATACGAACTGGCCATGAACCACTTGGGGGACATGGTGAGTGCATCTGTGACTCCTTACGTAAGTGTCGTTTTGGACCATAGTTCCCCAAGGATAACTTGGCTGATTCTTTCTCAGACCAGCGAAGAAGTGGTTCAGAAGATGACTGGGTTCAAAGCACCCCCCTCTCGTTTGCGCAGTAATGACACCCTTTACATCCCTGACTGGGAAGGTAGAGCCCCAGACTCCGTGGACTATCGGAAGAAGGGATACGTCACTCCTGTCAAAAACCAGGTACACTCTCGGTGTGAGCATCAAATGTAGTATGGCTTCTTCCTTTTTCTGCCTCTTTGTTCTTAAGCCGGGAAGTTACCCGGCATAGGGGTGCAAGGGATGGCAGTGTGTCTGTCTCCTGATGCTGAAAGAATATAAAATCTTCCATTATCCATCTCTTGTTTTTATGCATTTGACTTGTTTCTCATTTTTCCTTATTACAAATATTGTTGCAATAAATACTTTGGTGTACACATTTTTGTGCGCTGTGCAAATATTTAAGCAAAACAAATCCTGCAGTTAGAATTGATATGTCACATATCCTTTCCAAAAATGCTTTTACAATCTTACATTCTTAACCCCTGTAAAAATGCTAGTTTTCCCACAGTCCTCTCCCGACCCTGCTCTGACTCTGCCCCTCCCTCTGCACCCTGCCATTACAGTGCTGATAGCGATTCAAGATGGCTTAAACATAACCCCTGTTGTGGTGATCTTACACAATAGAAAGCATAGGAAAGATAAACAAAATCTACAATCTATCCACCTAAGCATAATAATAGTACTTTTTGGAGAGGATATTATATGTTACGAATTTATAAGTTCTTTGTATAAATTAAATATTTACTTTTCATAGCAACCCCATTAAAATGTATCCTATTACGGAAAAGGAAACAGAAGGAAATTTTAGTAGTTTGTTCAATGTCACATAACTAATGGGTTAGATAACCCAGCTGAATTGCTGCCCAAGTGACTTTTGGCTCAACTCTGCTTTACTGAGGCTGCTGGTACCAATGGCGGTAACCGTTAGCCATCACAGGGATAGCAACAGAACCATGCAAGCCCCAAGTGTTCAATGAAAGGGAGCTGGGAGGTTTCACAACACAGGTGACGCTTGTGCTAGAATTTATCAGCTGTGTTGGATTTCCTGTAGAGAATATGACCAGTAATGACCCACAATGCTTTCTGTGTGCCTCTCAGGGCCAGTGCGGTTCCTGTTGGGCTTTTAGCTCTGTGGGTGCCCTGGAGGGCCAGCTCAAGAAGAAAACTGGCAAACTCTTAAATCTGAGTCCCCAGAACCTGGTGGACTGTGTGTCTGAGAATGACGGCTGTGGAGGAGGCTACATGACCAACGCCTTCCAGTATGTGCAGAGGAACCGGGGCATTGACTCAGAAGATGCCTACCCGTACGTGGGACAGGTGAGACCACCCCACGCAGGGCTGCAGCTCAGGAGCACACCTTCTTCCCTACCTTCATGTTTGGTGCTGAAACAGTTCCAGAATCCTTGTTTTCTATTACCCTAGCCTGCCCTCTTGATTGGCTGACCTACATCATCTGAGGGAATTGGAAGAGTTAGGCTACCATGATTCCTGTTCCCCTCTCTGCCTTAGAATGAAGTGTTTGCAAGTCTGTATACTCTTCCACCAAACGCTCCACTCCTTTAGCAAACCTTCAGACCCATCACACTATTTTTTTGAATCATGAGGCTCTAATTTAAGTGGTCTCAGTGTGGGTTTGTGCAACATTTAAGCAATAGGGAAGATAACATCCTAACATGTATGAAACAACAAAAATATACTACCTCATATTGTAATTTTAGAGATAAAAGATTAACCCACTTCCTCCTTTTTTTAAAGCCCATTTGATCCCCCCCTTTTTTAGATTTATTTATTTATTTGAACATTTGAGAGAGAGAGAGAGAGAGATAAAAGAGAGAGAGAGAGCTCATCTGTATAGCAATTCACTTCACAAATGGCCATTATTGCTGGCCAAGGGTGAGCCAGACCAAAGCCAGGAGCCAGGAGCTTCTTCCAGGACTCCCATGTGGGTGCAGGGGCCTAAGGCTTTGAGCCATCCTCTGCTGGTCTCCCAGGCCATTAGCAGGGAGCTGAATTGGAAGTGGAGCCATTGGGACTTGATGCCATATCAATGCCAATATCACAGCTGCTATGCCACAACTCTGGGCTTCCTCCATGATCTTTTAATAACAAGAAGCAGATCTTCGTCCTCTCAAAAGGAAATAATCTGAAATTTTAAAAAATATATTGTGCATTTTGTATGCCTACACTGAGATTGAGTGAATATATGATGTTTGTAACAGGAGCTGTTGGAACAGGGATAGCAAGTTTGAGTAATAAAAGTAATCATCCCTGTCACTGGCTTAAAGCCAGGGGGCCAGGAGCTCTGTACTGGTCTCTCTTAGGCTGGCATGGGCACACGCACTTGAGTCATCTTTGGTTGCTTTCCTGGGTGCATAGCAGGGAGCTGGATGGGAAGCAGAGCAGCTGGGACTCAAATCAGCATCCAGTTAGTTAGATCAGGAAGGGATCAAAAATGGAGCAGTCATGACCCTGCTATGATGTGCTGGTGACAGGACAGCTCAACCCACTGTGGCACAAAGTTATCCCCAGAAGAAATGTCCTATCTCTGTCTTTCTGTCTCTGTCTGTTTAGGGATGTAAAGGGTAAGAGCTTGTGAACACTCTGGTTTATTGATTTACTGCTCAGATGCCCACATGGCTGGGACTTTCCAAGGCATAATGGGTAAAGCTGCCTGCAGCATAGGCATCCCATATGGGGACCAGTTCGAGTCCCAGCTGCTCTACTTCTGACCCAGCTCCCTGCTTACAGCCTGAGAAAACAGCAGATGGCTGAGGTCTTTGGGTCCCTGCTCCTACATAGGAGACCTGGAAGAAGCTCCTGGCTTTGAATCAGCTCAACTGGCTGTTGGAGCTATCTAGAGAGTGAACCAGCAGATGGAAGTTCTTTTTCTCTCTCTTCTCTTGTAATCTGCTCTCAAATAAAAAATGAATGAATCTTTAAAAACAAAACAAAAATAGCTCTTGAGAAATCGTTAAGTCAATAGAAAAACATAATTTTATGGACCCAGCACAATGGTTAGTTTTAAATCCTCACCTTGTAAGTGCCGGGATCTCATGCGTGCTGGTTCATGTCCCAACTGCTCTGCTTCCCACCCAACTCTCTGCTTGTGGCCTGAGAAGGCAGTAGAGGACAGCCCAAAGCGTTGCGACCCTGCAATGGCATGGGAAACCTGGAAGAAGCTCCTGGCTTTGGATCAGCTCAGCTTCAGAGGTCACTTGGAGAGTAAACTAGCAGATGAACAGTCTGTCTCTCTTTCTATCTGTAAATCTGTCTTTCCAATAAAAATAAACAAATCTTTTTTTTTAAACTGTTATCTTAGATTATTATGCCAAGTGCTGTCCTTACCGCTTATATTTAATAATGCATTCTGGGCTGGGCACGGTGGCCTAGTGGCTGAGATCCCATAGGGATAGCAGTTCTAATCCCAGCAGCCCGCTTCCCATCCAGCTCCCTGCTTGTGGCCTGGGAAAGCAGTTGAGGATGGCCCAGAGCCTTAGGACACTGCAGCCACATGGGAGAATTGAAAGAGCTCCTGACTCCTGGCTTTGGATCGGCGCAGCTCCAACCATTGTGTTCACTTGGGGAGTGAGCCATCAGATGGGGGGTTTTCCTCTTTTGTCTCTCCTCTCTCTCTCTATATATATATCTGGCTTTGCAGTGAAAATAAATCTTTAAAAGCAAAACAAAACAAAACAAATCTTTAAAAAAATGTATTCTTGTTGATATGATTTTAGGGTTTTTGAAGTAGTAATCTGTAGGAAAATGAATGCCAAAAAAAAGTGTACCAACCTGGTAGAAACTGACATTAGCTTCTGTAACTGCAGTTTGCCAGTGACACACATTGTTAACCAGATCTACTAAACTTAGTGTTGGGGGTGGGGGAGTTCACAGGCCAAATGGTTAGTTATAAGTGTGTTTTTGTGTCTTGTTATATGATTTTTTATTTACCTAGGTTGAGAGCACAGTGTCTGACCAGAACTGCACCCTCTCCAAGGAACTTTGCTTTGCTCGGTACCAGTGGCTTAGGACTTCCTCCTCGCCCTAGCCTTGTCTTGGCTTCCATGTGCAGCACTTGCTGTTTCTGTGTGCACAGAGGCACACATGCAGCAGCTCATGGCCAGAAGATGGTTTGGGCACTTTGAAAAATGTGATTCAGAGTTCTTTTTGTACTCTGAGGAAATACAGCTGCTTTCTCTTTTGAAAGCCATACAGCTTGTCTTCTTTGATACATGTCTGTAAGCCACT